GTAAATCTTTTCATTGTAGCAATAAAACATATTTAGAAAAACATATATAATTTGTCCGGATTTTGGCGCCGCACCCTGTATGAGAGATCCCAAATACCCCCCTAATTGAAATTAAATTTATATTGCGAAAAAATATATATACACGTATAATTTCCGCACAACACCTAGCGAACGGCTCTTATGACCGAAAATATATATTTATATATACTGATATTTTTTATATAGAAGAATATGAGATAAAAAAGAGGAAAAGAGAGAGAGAAAGAGAAAGAGAGAGAAAGTGTGTGCGTGAGTTTCTTATGCTTTTGTCACTTATCAATGAAAACATATATTTATACATATTATAACATGTTTTCTATATCTGTTTTATTTACCTACGGCCGTAACAAGTCCATCGCCTAACCACTCACTTAGAATCATCATGTGATATGGCTTATTAATATGTATAGTACTTGAAAGAACAACCTGTACACACATACATATACTATATTTATATATAATGTATGTATATATTTTGTAGTGCTAACTTACAAAGTTGTATAGATATTAAATTTAAAAAATACGATTGTTTTTATTTACAACCGTTGTATATTTTGAGTACGTTTTAAGGTAGTTCTCGTGCGACAGTCCTATTCAAAAGTGAAATCTAGTGTCAGTACAAAAACTTATATGCTTAACGATACTGCACTGTCTTTTATGTTTACATTACTCGTATAACAACAAGCAAAAACTTGTTTTTATTAAACGACAAGGGAAAATCGGGTGATGCGTCCAAACTTTTGACCGATACTGTACGTCCAAAACAAGTCCGAAAAATGTATAACTATGTATCAAAAACAGTAAAAACTAATTTTCTTTTTCAAATATTTGTAAAATGTTTCTCTATAACAAAGTTGTTTTTTGTAAAAATTTATAGAGTTGTTTTGAAATTAAAAACAAAAAAGGCTGTTTGAATGAATTCGCTATAGGGAACGTAAGTTAATAACGCCTACTTTGATTTTGTGTGTGTGTGAATATCTCGCTTCATAATCGGTTAATTTCTTTGAAATTGCGATAGTAATTGTAAATCATTATTATTAACATTCCATTTAAGTTTTGTTAAGTTCTATAGAAAAGTGGTTTTGCACGGGGACTACCTTAACTTTTTCGCAAGTCTGACTGCCATCCCAAACAGAACAAACCTTTTATTAGATGTCCATTAGACGTCAACAGCTCCATGCGATATATAATGTCTAATGGAGTTTTTGTTCTGTGAGATGCTATTAGTGTACTTTTCACAAGCAGTCAGCGAGCTAAAGGTTGTTGATTGCATTTATTACGTTATTCTAATTTTTTTGATCGCTCTTTGTGGCGAGCGACTTTAGTTGTCTGTAGTAATAAAAAGGAGTAATGCTTAACAGCGCTTATTACTTACAATCAATAATAAATTGATTTCACGAGAGATATAACATTTGTTTTTGTGAGATGGTCTGTCCTAATCAATGATAGTCTAAAGTCTAAAAAATCTTCTCTCGCAAAATCAATGTATTATCCGATTGTGTAAATATATGTTTCTCAATAAACACACATACACAAATATATTAAGTATATATATATATATTATATATTAATGTTTTTTCTTACTTGTATTAAATTTGGATCGTATAGACAAACTGCCGGCGTACATCCTGTCCAATGTATTGCAATTCCATCTTTATATCTATTTAGAATTGTTAATAACCATTTTATACGTTCTGAAAAATAAAACATAGCAAAACATATAATAAATAAAAATAAAAAATATATAATATACTATAATATACATAATTTATAATTAATTTAAAATTAACTTTTCGCGAACAGACATGAATCTCCCAGACCCACCAAAAAATGTAAAACCGGTGTTTATACATAATAGTTTAGAGTGACATCTGAGGAATCTGAAAAAAAACTTTAAGATATTAGACAAAACTAGAGGAGGTTGACAGCGTCAGTTGTTTAATATCATAGCTTTGTGAATATTTACTTGTGAAGGTTGAAAAGAGTCTGACAGATTCAAATCTGTTTGAGGCGTTGGTTTTTCGAAAAGTAAGTAAATTTTGTTCTAGTTTGAGCACTTTTCATATATCAAATAATTTATGTTTTTTCAAAATTTTAAGGTACTTTATTAAAATCTATATACATTTACAGCGATTAATAACGAATATTTTGACTTTGATTCGGAATCCGAAAAAGATGCAACGTGAAGAGAATGGGTTGTCAAACAATAAAAACAATATTATTCTATTCATAATTTTGTCTTTTTCTTTAATTTTAATTTTAATTGTTTTAAGCCTTCTTAATATCATAAAATACATGAAACAATCCTGCATTATAATTCACCATTATAGCTGAAAAATTCCTTCTACCTGAACCTTCCTTAAAATAACAGATGTTTACACTAATTTTTCATCGCAAATTATAAGCAATTCCCTGCAAAATTGGTGCGGAATTTAAAAAAAAATTCTAATTACAAAAATAATGACGATTAAAAAAAGTCTGATTTCTTGAAAAAAAAAACTTTCTTCCTAAATTATTTCCTTTAAACGCGTATATCTTAGCAACTATTGGACATTTCTTTGATACTTTTTTTTACTTAAAGAAGAATTGCTCACTTTCCATTAAAAAAAAGAATGTCAAAATATTGATTTATTACAGAAATTGCATGTCAAAGTTGAGCGCTAGAAAAATGTATTCTTCAAAAAATGTCCCAAAAACCTATTGTGGAAATGTTTTCAATTTTTACAATTTTGGGAGACAATTTTTTTCTGAAAGTACAAGCAATTTTCTGCAAAACCGTGTTAGAATTTTATAAAAACTTTAATTACAAAAAATGACAAATTTTTAAACAAAAAATTTTTTGTTCGAAAAAAATTCCGGCTTTTCTTTAAACATTTATATTTACTAGAAAATATTAGAGTTGTTTTCAATTTGTTGTTTTTTTATCGATGCAAAATCGTTTAAACTTTCAATTTAAGAAAACAAAACCAAAAACTTTGATTTTTTGCGAAAATATTCGATTTTAAAGTCGTGTGAATTCACAGACTCAATTTGTCTGACTTGTAGGTAATTTTTGGAGTCTGTCTGCGAATAGTTAATTTATATAATATATTTTTGAGATCTATAAATTCAATAATAACATAGAAGATAGGAAATAAACATGTAGTTGTTTTGTTAGTTTGTTTTTACCTTCCCCTTTAAGTTTTCGTGTTTCAAGTGTTCCAATAATAGGAAGAGCAGTAGGTCCAGGAATGCGGTTGAGTTTTTTCCGTATAATGTAATAACTATACACACTTATTATTATTTTACAAGCTAAAACAGCGCTAATAGCAGATATAATCAGAAACAGGACGTCCATTGTGCGATGTACAATGTTACGATACGACTGAACTTTGTTTAAAATAACTTTTCAATATATTTGGCTATTTATACACAATACATATTTATTTTTAGTACATAGTTTTATGCTAAATTTTATTTCTACATTGTTAAATGTCCTTGTTTCTAAATTCAAGATAATGTTTTAACAAATTCATACATTTTATGGCTGAAGCGAGTACTCAAAAGCTGTAATCTAAACTAGAACGGCCAGGTTTCAATCTCGCCGTTTTTCACTTCATGGTGATTCAGAACTACCATGGTGGTTCGTAAACCACCATGTTTACTTTGTCAAAAACCATATGTTCTCGGAAAGGAATATGAAATAGACATTGGCAAAAAGGTGTAAAACTTTTAAGGAACCGATAAACATATCTAATCTAAACACTACTTTGCAAGTTAATGCAGTTTTGAAAAGCAATTTATTTTCTTTTTCCAAGAACTAGAATTACTAAATAGTTTATTTTTAGTTATTTTACGTATAGTCGAGTAACCACCGAATGTTATTTTTTTACGTAACAAATTGAACGTATTTCCGTGTACAGAATTACAAATTCGCTAGGATAGCGCCAAGATAAGATTACTAATGTGGTTCCAAGAAGTATTGGCACACTCATATTTTTTTGGGGGGAAGAGAGTTGTATGTCTTATAATGAAGTTGGAAATTTAGCATTGAAGAAATTATTGAAAAAATTACGAATGCTTTAACGCATATCTTTAACGTATGTCGCGAGATAATATACTACAGAGCGCAAGATTTTAAAAATTTGTTTTGCATTAAAAACTTCAAGAAAATTGTGTATTTTCTACGTAAAACACAGATGTGCTAATATTTTTTTGAGTATAAAATTTTTTTTTTTTTTTTTTTAACTTGTTTTAATTACAATATTGAGAGTTTCTTGAAAAATACACTGCTTTCGTATATCAAAAGATATTAATAAGCACTATTTTATATTAATACATCACTTCATTATGTAAAGATATTTTTACAAATGTAGGTGTGCCAATACTTTTTAGATTCATTGTATATAATCAGCAAGAAAAAAACTTGCTAAGCATATTATTGACGTTTTGTTTTACTAACAAAATGTTTGGTTGATGAAATAAAAAATTTATTAGGATCAACAAAATTTTTTTGTTGACTATATACTAGTAAACTATCTTTCTCATATATAATAATAGTTGATATGTATAATATTGTTGCAATGTTTTTTTTGAATGAATGAAGACAGTTTTCGAGTCTTGATTTGTGACAAACATATTTTATCGTATAATATTCTCAGATAGCACATGAATGTCCATAGGATATCTAATGGACGTCCAAATTCAGACATCAGGACGTCCATTGGGTGTCCGAATAAACTCCAATGGATTGTCCACTGATTGTCTTATCGACATCCATTTTTGACAATTTCGGTTGTCCATTTATTTTCCAAAAAATAAATGGACCTAAAAAAGATAATTTTGATGTGTGTAAAGCTTCAACAATTTAAAAAATATTTAACAGAACAATGGCTCTTAGAAGCAGACACAGATGTAGAGATGCAAATTTTAACTTTGTTTAAAAAAAAAACCTAAAAAAGATAATTTTAGTGTAACATCAGGTAATTATGCAGATTAGGGGAGCCATCTCTCCTAATTTGAATAATTTTCATATATGTTGTCAAGGTCATTGTCCCGAGTGATAATGTGAAGGTTTTAGGCGGCGGTCGTTGTTTGGTAAAAAGTTACAAGGGGAAGAAGTTCTACTGAACAATATGCAATTTCTCGACATCCTATGTATCAATATGTCTTCTGCGTTTGTACGTGTGTGTGCACATGTTAGCGTTTGTTTATACGCTTTCGTACTGTGTCGTGAAAGGTCGTTTTTTGGGAAATCGTGGCTCTATATTATTGCCTTTTTTGGGATATCGTGCATCTTATTAAGTTTGGTAAATGAATTCTTATTTTTCGGTCGCACGTATATTTTGTTCGTGTTGTAAGCGTGTAGGCAGGGGGGCTGCGCCCCCCACAAGGGGAGGGGTAAAATAAGAATTCATTCATGAAACTTCTTCCCCTTGTAACTTTTTAACAAACAACGTCCGCCGTCTAAAACCTTCACATTATCACTCGGGACAATGACCTTGACAACATATGTAAAAATTATTAAAATCGGAGGTAGCTCCCCTAATCTGCATAATTACCTAATATCACAGTAATATTAACATGTCTACTGATATGCATAACATTACTACTGTGATATATATATAAAAAAAAAAAAACCAATGGCACATTGTCTTGTGGAAAAGAAATTAATTCAAAATTTCACTTGACTTAATTTTTGGAATCCTGATTCAGGTTACCGATCAACTGATTATAGTCTAAGAGCTGGCTACATAACTGTTTATGTAACGGGGTACAGTCCTAATTTTTACTAGAAAATGTTCAATTACTATCGATAAAAATAAAACTCGCTTGTCAGAAGTCGCTCTGGAAGACAAAAGTGAAAATAGGTGGAAAATTATGAAAATTATTAAGGAAATAATTGTAATTGCGTACAATGACAAAAATTTGTACAAACATAATAAATTATGTTAGAAAACAAAAAACAAATCTTCAGAAGTGTAGATAGAAGAGAAAACACCGTCAGAAGCCGTTAAAGTTGCGGAAAATTCGGAAAAATTATGTCATAAGGTACAGTTCTGACAATTTGTTTGCTTGCTTTTTGTACATTAAACAAGCTAATTGCAAATTGTCAGAAGCGTAGATGGAAGAGAAGTATTCAAAAATCAATAAAAAGTGTAGGATGTATATAAACCGCTCGATTAGTGTTATCGCTTACATTTCGCTTAATTACCAATAAATGGTTTTTAGTATATTTCTGACGTTTTGTATATTTATCGTAGACACTTGTATTAATATATACGTGAATCGTCAGAAGTTACTTTGAAAGATTTTATAGCGTCAGAAACAGATAATGAACGCGGTAAATGCGCGCATCACGCGTGTACTTACTGTAAATCGCTGCATTACGTTTGATTTTAATCATAAAAGTAAAATGTGTATTACAATTAGTACTTAATTCAAATTATTTTTATTTTTTACATTAATTTATTTGTTTCAATTAAAAAACAATAAATAATTTTATGATACTTTTAATTTATATTACTGTATAAAATAATTTTTATTAGTGTAAGTAAACATTTTTTAAATAAAATGTTTATATTTATAGAGTAAGTATAAAATAATTTTATGTAAAAAATTATTATATTATTTTTATATACTTGTATAACGTAGTTTATATTTATAAAACAACTATTTACAATTTTTTAATCAGTGTCATTTTGAAATCTGAGAAATTCTTCATGTTTATCTTCATCAGTTTTAGAATTGCTTTTATCCACGCTCATAGAATCTGTCTGACTTTTATCTCTAAATAAAATATGAAAATGTTATAAATTATTAATATAACAATATATACAATTGTGTAAAATTGAATACTTTGCCTTCATCATTTTTATTGTCTAATACAACATCTTTAACAGTTGATGACAATTGATTTCCGTCGAAGCATTTGAAATCGTAGTGCGATCCATTTAAAATCCATCCGCATTCTTCTGAATCTAGACAATTTAGTACTTTCATGTATGCATTTCTCCAAGATATTTGTGTTGTAATGAGCCCTTAGAAATTGCTGATATAATTCTGATTTACATGGTGGTAAATTTGATGCATCGAAATTTAAAAAATTTTTTTTTTCAAAAGGCTCATTAATATTTTTTACTTTGTAATTTCTTAAGAATAACTCAAAGCGAACATAGTCAACAGACGTGTCCCTGGTGCTTGATGTTATTCCATACAAATGACTGACATATATTTCCAATGTTCTGAAGGTTTCTTCTGTATCGCACAAAGTGTCGCCACACACACAAGGTCGTAAAACGCTTTTTGATATTATTCATATTTTGCTAAGATTTTAAACGGATGCTGCTTCTCTTTTCTATAAACGCGCGGAAGACAGTCCGATATAAGCTTATTCGCGGATCTTTGTTAACTAAAATCTCAGTAACTATTACGAATCTCGCAAAATGGTTTAGGACTTTTCGAAACAGTTTTACTCTTTCTACTTGTCTACGAGAGATGTTACACGAGTAAATACTTACTAATATAAATATAAATATATAGTTATATATTATTACTAATCGAATATGTTGCTGTTTTTTGCAATCTTGTCTGATTGATTTGTACGACATATTATTTACAATATGACAAGTTGTCTCGCATACATAAGGAAACTATTCTAGTCTGATTGATAGCAACGATCTCGCATATCGACAAGGGAAAATCGCAATGATAGACAAAAACAAAATCTTATCCGTTCTGCATGCAAGATCACATTGCAGTCTCGACGTGACTGGAAAATTGTCGTAATAACAGAAATTTATTTAAAAAATAATTACAGTTATAAATAAATTACAAATACGCATTATGTCTAAACAAAAGAAATTTGCTTTAATTTGGTGGCTAAAAAGTGGAGAAAAAGATGTGAAGATATCAATTATTCTAAAAAAAATGTAGAAATTTAATTGAAATAGTAAAGTTAACGTGGAAAGATTATAAAACACAAAAAAAAACTAAGGCTAAGGCAAAAATTCTTGCCATAAGCGGTAAGTTATCTTTTTATGTTAAAAAAATATCTATGTTGTATAAATAATCAAAAACATATTATTATTAGTATCTATTTTTATTACAGATAATGAAAATGCGTCATCATTATCGTCATCGTCATCACAGTCTCAGGTACATCCAACATCTTCACATACATCAACTTTTTTTAATAATTCAAACACATCATATTGTTCAGGTCCTTCGACTTCATTTCATAATCACAACACATCTTATAATAATTTACAAAATTTCAACTCCACATCACCAAATTCATATTTACATGCTTCATCCTCTGTTTCCATCTCTGCTCCGCTTTCTTCACCATTACATAATATCAAACAAAACACAACTATTTCATCGGCAGCCTTTTCACATACACCAATTTATAAATTACCAGTTTATAAATCAAACGACAATATAACAACATTTTTTGGAGAATTTGATCACACAAAATCAAATATTCAAAATAAACCAATTGATACAAACATTAAAGAAAATAAAATACAATTAAATCGACCAAACGAAAACAACAGATTCGGATTCATCAGATTCATCAGATTCATTTTCACAAGACTCATCATCATCAGACAATTCACATCACTCATCTTCACACAATTCACATTCTAAAACTTCACAAAAAGATGAAGGAACTGATATTGGAAGTGGAATATTTGCCAGTCTTCCAAATGGAGTAAGTAAGTATTAATTTTGTTTTTTAAATATCATAAGTGTCATCAATTATTTGTATTAATTAAAATCTTGAATTTATTATTCACAGTCACCAAAAGAGATATATATTTCCAAGAACAATTATTATTAATAGTGAAAAAAGCTTACCAGAATCAAAAGAAAGTGGATATAGAGTCACAAGAAATCTTTGAGGTAATACATATAAAATTTTATTTATCCATAATAATGTTAACAACATGATAAAAAAACTAATATAAAAATAATAAATAAAAAAGTTATACATAAACAATATACACATGAATTATACGCAGCCAATGTGTATCGTGACAATTAATGATGATAGTAACAAAGGTTGGCTTAGGGCTTAGGTTAGAGTTTTTTAGGGAGGGAGTGCAGGAGGAGGAGCGGAGCCCCTCCCCCGCCCACATGTGTACAATTGTATGAAATACAAACAAAATATTTACTTGTAAAAAGTGTATATAATGTCGGAAAACGTACTGTGGTCAATCGTACCGTGTCCAATCGTACGTTTCCAATAGTACGTGTGCAATCGTACTGTGTCCAATCGTACTGTGGTCAATCGTACCATGTCCAATCGTACGTGTCCAATAGTACGTGTGCAATCGTACTGTGTCCAATCGTACCGTGATCAAACGGAATACGCCTAAAGCCTATGTCACACTACGGATTGGGATTGAGATTGAATTGAAATTTGACCAATCAGAAGAAAGAAAACCAATCCTAAGTTTAGTGATCTTTGCTCTAATTGGCCAAATTGCAATCCAATCTCAATCCTAATCCGTAGTGTGACATAGGCTTAACGGAGATGGTAAAAACGGGCGTCAGTCTTTTCTCTGCTGACGCTTAAGGTTGTGTTCCGATTCCCCACCCGAGTGCATCCGAGTGTCATTTTATCTTTGTTTTATGTCTAGTGAGTGATAAAGATAAAGTATACTCGGGTGAGGAATCGGAACATAGCCCAAAGCGCGTAAGCGCCCAAACGAACGCACCTCTAGTAACATTAAAGAAAACTATCGATCACGAAATTATTGGGTGCGTTCAGACAACTCAACAGTTGCACACAACGGTTGAGAGTTAATCACTTCTGATTGGATCATACTTTTGGAACCGTAGCAGATTTTGAAGAATAGTCCTATCATAAAGGGTCGTCTACAATGGAGAGTTTTAGACTGTAACAGTAAGTAATTGACAAATCACAATCGATTATTCTTCTGTACTTTGTCTGTGATTGGTCAATTTCTTACTATTACGACCTACAACTCTCCATTGTAGACGGCTCTTAAGGCCTGTTCTACAATACAGTCGTAAGCTGTAAGTCGTAAGAAATTGACCAATCACAGATAAATCACAGAAGAATAATCGATTGTGATTGGTCAATTTCTTACGACTTACGACTGTATTGTAGAACAGGCCTAAGGCTCATTCTACAATAAGATATTAGTTTAGTCGTAAGCTGTATGTCGTAAGAAATGAACCAATCACAGACAAATTACAGAAGAATAATCGATTGTGATTGGTTCATTTCTTACGACTTACAGCTTACTACTAAACTAATATCTTATTGTAGAATGGGCCTAAGTGATGATCTCTCAACCGTTGAGTTGTCTGAACGCACCCATTGCAGTTGAAAAACATCGATACGATAATCGATAAATTTTAATTAAAAAAAAAAAACAAAAACAATAATCAATGCAACATCGCTTATTTCTACGGAGTGTTCATACATACATACAGACCGACACAATAGAATAATTATGACACTTGCATTTTTTTCTATTGTTTCAAATAAAATCAAGCAGATATGAATGCTGTTAACATGAATTGGCTGGGTTCGGCAGAGGGAGAGTCTCTGGTTCATCACTTTTATGTGAATTCTAAAAAGAGAAGATTCTATGGTGCTAATTTGTTTACTAATTAATTAATAAGCACACGCATAAAATTGCACTTAAATTATTTTTACTCTTTTGTACAGTTTGCTTTATGGTAAATGTAAAGGAATGTTTTCCATATATATATTTTAGGCGTCTTGGAAAGACCGTCGTTGCCTCTCTCTATGGAAGAAGTCACTTATAAAATCTTCATGATAGGTAGAGCTGGCGTGGGCAAAACTTCGGTTGTTGCGAGACTCGCAGGCACACTTGAGTCTAACAATTATACAGAAACCAACGGTATAAGAAAAACAAATGTATTCTGGCCTGTGAAGATCTGGGACAAAGTTGTTCTGTTTAAGCTACAATTTTGGGATACATCGGAGAGCAGTATAAAGAAATACAATCACATTCTGCCAGTATGTGAAACCACCTTTGAAGCAATTTGTACAAAGTATCAAGTAGTTCTATGTAATTAAAATTGGATGAAATGATATAGACATTTTTCCTCACAGGCGTGTAAGGATAAAGTTGATGGAATATGTTCTGTATTTTCTTTCGACGACACATTAAGCTTTGGCGATATCCCATATTTGATGAATACAATGAATACTATAAAAGAAAATCCGGCAAATATAGTGATTGGCACGAAGTAATAGTTTTAATTTTGCACATATACTAGTATGTGTATCAAAGTTACAGGAAACAATCATCTTTTTTTTTATTTTTCCAGGTTTAAATCTTGGTCAAGTTGCGCGATAGATGAAGTACAAATCAAGGAATTTGAAGATAAATGGCAAGTCAAAGTGATCAAGATCGACTCCAGTAAATCATCTGTAAAATCTGAGCCGTTTGATTGCTCCTATCAGTTGAATGCTATTTGCAACATCTTGTGGAACAGAGATAAAGAGTTTATTTCTAATCTAATGAAACAAGCTCAATAATTACAAAGTACAAAGAGATTTTTACACGATATAAAAATACAAAAGACAGTAAAAAAATTTGCATAAATTATTATTTCTACGTCTTGTTCTCCATATCCTCGATCACATACATGTGCAAGTACAAACAATCGGTTTTGATATCTTTCAGCGGTAGTATGTTTTTATTTGTTATTTCTTTCCCGTCGTCTTTGATGATCCATGGAAAGTCCTCGTATTTTGAATTCTCACTCAGGCTGATGTGCGCTGTTTCGTACGTCAAAATTTCAACGGTAAAAGTTGAATTCTCTGGAAGTGGCTTTAAATATGTATCGCACATTGACAACTTCAAACAAATCGTCTTCAATGCTTCTTCCGTTTTCAAGTAGTATGGATCGCTCCTTAAAAAAAAAAAGAGAAAGTGTGTAACATAAGACAAGAACTCTAAAATCAAAATTGTGCGACGTACTCTTTGAGTTCAGTCTGCAATTTGACCATATCAAAGACGAATACTTCTGTCGGTAATTTGTTTTCGTTGTAGAAAGCAAGATTGATGGCGTTAATGCTATTCTCGTCTTCCTTCAGGAGATCTCTAATTGAATTTAAAACGTTCGACAGGTACTTATTCACTTCTGGATGTTCTGCTATGTATACGTTACTTCCGTATATCTTTTTCTTAACAAAAATTTCTTTAGGATAGATGTTACGACAAAATAGTACGTGATTAAATGCCACTTCCAAAAACTCCAACAAGATATCAAGGCCAACTACAAACAACAAATATTTTGTTTTGCAAAATCGTAATTTATATTACAGTAAAAAAAAAAAAAAAGTCATGAAACTAATAAATGAGAATTGGTCATATTTTTATCGGTCAGTATTGTCTTTGAAATTAATTTTTGCTTTTTTGAAAAAATTTACCTATTTTATCTTGAACCATTCTAACCAAACCTTTGACCGTTTCTGGAGTAGAGTGATATTTGAGATTTGTTTTTTTTTCTCTGAACTGGCTGCACTAGTTCACAATCTATCTTTTTTTATTCATATTAGAAAGAAAAAGATAGACTGCGAACTAGTGCATCCAGTTCGGGGAAAAAAAACAAACCTTTGGTTGACAAATCAAAAAGAGCAGATTTCTTTGTCCCGATTGGTTGATAAACCTACTGCACTCGACGAATAGAATTTTCGAACGCAGCTCAATGTGACACATCAGCTGACCTGAGTAATTAACAAATCTGTATCTTTTTAAATCTTGCATCACAGTTTGACGTTTCGTCGCGTAATATTGCGTCAAAAAGATGAGATTTTGTAAAGAAAAAATTTTTTGTCAAGAGTTGACATAGAGAGTGTGTATTCGTCTACTAGATTATGTGTCGGATTGTTATGTTTTATTGAAAATGTCTAGATCGAAAATTTCTGATTTATTTGCCGTCCTCAAAGGAGCTCAAAACGTGACGGATGCATTGGTAAAACATCAAAAAGATGCGATCAAATACACAATCCTTCATTCTAGTTTGAAAGATTCTTCCGAAAAGTGTTTACACGCAGTGAGCAAACAATTGAATAATTTGGAACCGCAAAAAATCCCTGTGAGTTTTTTTTAAAACGTACATGTAAAGAGTATCAATATATATCGTAATTCTACATATCATTGTATCTTACATAATATTTTCTCTTACAGAAAGAAGTAGTAAATAATTTGAAGGAAACAATTGAACGTATAAATGTAGTTGAGGAAGGTGTAAAGCAGTATCTTAAAATAAGAGCTAGTCAAACCTTGAACATAGACAATGATCTTTCTGTTCCCCAAAAACAGACTAAATTGTATGTATACGACGTTGCAAAAGATCCAAAACAATTGTCACCTGATCAAAATGCCTCAATTTTGCATAGTGATACTAATAAATTTTTAAATCAAGAGTCTTTAAAAGACAAACAGAATACAGTATCAAAGGATATGACTGTAAAAGAAAAAATCCATACAATTGCTACTTCGTATACTAAGATACCTGACATAGAACTCTCAGATAATGATAAAAAACTTTTGAGACAATTGGAATTAGAACATGAGAAGCAAATGAAAAGTAAGAATGTTAGTTCAGTAGCTTCCTCTACAGTTGAGATACATGACGAAAAAGAACATGTGAACTCAACACAAACAGAATCTAAAGAAAAACCGAAACCTAAATTGTCAGTTAGACCAAAACAATCTGTAAGTATTAAACTTTTACTTTTATACATGGTATACATATTTTCAAAGTAATATATGTGTATTACTATTTGATTTATGTTTAACAGTTATCACCTAATGCCAGAGAGACAAAAGTTCCTGCTTCAAGATTGAGCAGAATGTTTAACTTTGGGTTGTTGGGCATTGGTCTTGGTGTTGGTACATTTGCGGAATATACACGAAAGACACTTGGGTTAAAGGAACAAAGTCTTAGTGATACAGTCGATAGCATGTTCCTTACTAAAGCCAATGCAGAAAGAATAGTTTCAACATTATGCAAAGTAAGAGGTAAGATTTGCATTATTATGTTGATGTATATACTTGTAGAGAAATTATATTTAATGTGTATTGAAAAATGTGTGTAGGTGCAGCTTTGAAGATTGGCCAAATATTGAGCATTCAAGACAACACTATCATAAGTCCTGAATTGCAAAAGATCTTTGAAAGAGTTCGGCAGAGTGCTGATTTTATGCCAAAATGGCAAGTAGAGGTAACTGATATAGAATCTGACACAGATCTCAAAAAGAATTTTAATTTATATACATACTTGTATACATATTTATGTACTTATTTATATATATATATATATATATATATATTGAAATATCTGTAATTATTTCTAGAAAGTATTAGCTAATGAACTTGGTCACGATTGGAAAAGTAAACTGGCATCCTTTGAAGAGAAACCATTTGCTGCTGCATCGATTGGTATATCATTTTTAAAATTCTCGGAATAACAATAACAAAACAATTGTTCTTATATATTTACCTATTATTGTTTTTACTTTAGGACAAGTGCATCATGGTAAATTGTTAAATAAACAAGATGTAGCTATAAAAATTCAATATCCGGGAGTAGCTGCTGGTATTCAGAGCGATATTGACAATTTAATGGGCATAATGAAGGTATAATCACAATTTTCACACAAATATATTTTAATATTGAATATAATATGATATACAAATTATGACACGTGTATGTTGTGTTCTGTTACAGAGATGGAATATGTTTCCAGAGGGAATGTTCATAGATAACGTGGTGGAAGTTGCAAAACGTGAACTTGCATGGGAAGTGGATTATACGAGAGAAGCGGAATGTGCAAGAAAATATAGAGAACTGATAGCGCCTTACCCCCATTATTACGTGCCTGCAGTAATAGGTAAAAATACTTGATACAATGATTTATGTTGTACTCTTAGGGCTGTTCTAGAATGAATTGAAAATCCCGTTGCCAGTTGCAAAAGAGATAACTATTAGAAGAAAAGTATTTTTTCCAGTTACACTTGGGGCCGTTGCAGTTGTCAAAAGAAAATTCAACTTTTAACTTTTGGCAACAGCAACTCCTGCGGCAATCGCAGCACATAAAATAATAATTTTCCTCTAGTATTTGCAACTGGCGACGGGACATTTTCAACTCATTCTGGATCCTTAATCTAGACACACTTACGTAATGTCGAATATACATCTAGATGAACTCTCTACAAAGCAAGTATTCACAACGGAGATGATAGAAGGTATACCTGTCGATAAGTGCGTGGATATGGATGTTAAGACGAGAGAACGCATAAGCGAATTAATTATGCGTCTTACTCTGTTGGAATTATTTGAGTTTCGATACATGCAGACAGATCCAAATTGGTCTAACTTCTTCTATAATCCTGATACAAAACAGGTTTCTATACATACATGCATATTACACATCTGTAATTTTTAACTAAAAGCACTATATACTTACATGTACATCTTCACAGTTGATTCTGTTAGATTTTGGGGCATGTAGAACTTACGAGAAAGAATTTATCGATAAATATATACAAGTTATCGATGCCGCGAGCGAGAGGAATCGCAGTAGAGTTCTGGAATTATCTCGGAAAATGAAGTTTCTCACTGGCTATGAATCCAAGGTATCTTTCTTATTTCTATTTTGTTTTTATTTCTATTTTAAAAGAATAATTTCTACTATTGTAAAATTTATATTGAAAATTTTTTTTTTGTTATTTTTCTGCATGTGCGCACAGTTGTGCTAGTACAAAATAACAAAATTTTCATATATTGTCAGATTATGGAAAATGCTCATGTGGATGCTGTTATGATTCTCGGACAAGTGTTTGACAATAATCACGAGTATTATGATTTCGGTGGTCAAGATGTGACAAAACGGTATGTCTTTGAGATATTTGTCTAAATAATTTCTTATATAAAAATCTGTATATATTATAACTCTAACACCAACAATATTGTGTTCCAGTATTAGTAAATTAGTACCAACTATAATACATCACAGATTATGCCCGCCACCCGAAGAAATATATAGTTTACATAGAAAGTTGTCGGGAATATTTTTGTTGTGTGCTAAACTGAAAACTAAAATCAAGTGTCGCGATATGTTTCGCGAGATTTATGTCAATTACAAGTTTGATTAATGTATTTTTTCAAACACAGACATGTGTAAATTTTATATGCTTTATTATATATGTTTTGAGAAAAATTATTACAGAAAATACATAAATTTATATCAATAAGCATTATAAAAAATAATTAATTAAACAACAAAATTTCAAAAGTGGTTTTATTTATTTTTATTTTTTTTATCGACATTCTTCAAATATATATACGACTATTTAAGAAAATTATACAGAAATTTTTCACAATATTATTAACCTTTGCCTCGTGTGTGTGCGTGTGTGTGTTGTGTATGTGTGTATTTTGTGTTGAACTTTAGATAAATTACATACATACGTATATTTGAGATATTTTATAAAGATATCACGTATTTTTATAAAGAGATGTCAGATATATATTAAATTCTATTAAACATCACAGAAGTTATATATATATATATATATAATATTAAATTTATTGCTATGTGACAATGTTTTTTTTATACTCAAGACAGTTAATTAAAAACATTTCTCCCTAAATTATCATTATCCTCTTAGGTATTACCACATATTTTTTTGATATATTACAAGCTCTACACAAAATCATTATTCTTTATTTAGATATATACACGGTATACATTTATTTTTTCATATTAAATTTTTTTTTTATATTACTACAAACAATACAAAAGAACTTTCTTTATACATTTAATAGCTTTGGGATGGCAATCCTAACAATTTTCTTTCAAAGAAAAAAGTTAGGTTTAATAATCGCGTACATAGATGCAATACGGCTCTCTCATTCGCACGCGCGCGCGCGCCTCACTCTCTCTCTCTCTCGATGTACCTATGCGCACGCATATACGTACGCAAACACAGGCACAGACGGAGTTAGTGTGAGTAAGTTTATATATTATTATTCTAATCAAATATAAATAAAATTTTATGTACACATCAAGATAAATCAACAAACTTAAGGCTGTATGATATACACAAATCGTAAAGCAAAACCGAAATGGCAATTAAGAAGCCAAATACGGAGATGGTGTATATATTAAGTAAAAAAAAATGTATTTTGTTTTGTTATATAACACTATGCAAAAAAATATGTGTGCAACAATATATATTATATACACATACAGCTGTTACAAAGTTTCAAACATTAACAAATAACTCATACACAAATGCATTCCCGTATTTGTGTGCGGTTGATTTAAATGGTAAAATTCTTGGAGATAATATCGTGTGAAAATTGATCAGACTCTTTTGTAGGAATGAACACTTATTCATCATTATAATAAAGTAGTTAAGTTATCATTATTAAAAGTCCAAACAATTGATTCTACAAACTGTTCAAAATTATTTACGACTTTAATCAATCGCGACAACACAGGCCACGTTCTTAATTTTGTCATTATGCGCTTTGAAAAAAAAAAAAAAAAAAAAAAGAACAGATTTTTTTATATTAGGTTTAAATAACATTTGGCTGATCCGGAATAAGCGACGCGAAAAACGAACTAAAGACAGTCCAAAAAGTCCAAAAAGCGATAGCACCAGGACGTTGTTCCTCATTCTCTTCATTGGCGTTTGTTCGTGCTTCCGCTTGCACAGGTGGTACCTGGGCGTTTTGCTGCTGCGGCACTGCTTGAGCACCCATCGCTTCGTTTTGTAACACTTGATTGTTGTTTCCCACACGGTTATTGTTTTCCAGTAAAATTGGTTGTACTCTGAAGAAACCGCCTTGATATCTATGTAAAATGTAACAACGATAAGGTGAAAAAAAAACGGCAAGAAAAAGTTTTACATCGCTATTATCGTTGCGTTACGTAATATCATAAATTTTTTGCTTACAAGTATATTGCAAATCCCAGGAACGTAACAATGAGAAATCTGACGGGAGACGAGTAGAAATACACTATACCAAATAAAACTATGATCCTAGAGAACATGTAGAATAAATCCAACCAGTCGCGATTAAATGCAGGGTCGTCACCCGCAACATTATTCCCTGCATTAACTTCTGCCGCGTCTTGTGCCACTGGTTGTGCTTGTTCATCACCGACATTATTATTATTATTATTATTATTGTTGTTGTTATTGTTATTTGCATATGTACTTTGAGTTGTATCGCTCGTGTTAATATTCATTTGCTGCAGGTAAGGAATACTGGCTTGCAATTGTATACCTTGTGCCGCCATGCTATAAGATATAATGATATGACCTTATGCATTTTATATGCGTGAACACATTTTTTAAGTAAATTTTTTAACAATTTTTATAAAAATTATTTAAATATAATTCTTCTGATTTATAAAAATTTATCAGATGTAAGATAAATATCCTAGTATCTGGACATGTCCCGATATCCGGACAAATAATGCAAAATTCATTCATTTTGCATCCTAATTTTTAATATCATTAAAAACAAAAACTTTTATCGTAAAGTATAAAAATTTATTAACGTAAAGTGAAATAATGATTATATAACATTGAAAATTATTAGTCATAAATGCATTTAGGTTGTTCGCATACTAGAACATTTGCGCAGTTTCGTATTTTCGTTAAAATAAATACATCTATAACGTAATTCAGAAAGTTATTAATAAATTTATTATGTTCCATTTTTCAATAATTGATTGTATCAACTCGTAATAAAATAAAAATTGTTTAATTTTATGGTAAATTTAACAATTTTTTTTACTTTTACACATTAAATCAGTAGATATTTTGCTGCTATTCTTTAAGCGTCCGGATACCGGGACATTTACCTCATATATCATAAATTTTTGTCTTATTCTCTCTCTTGAATTTCGTATTTTTAAAATAAAAGATTATGAAGAAAAAACACTTACAGTTGCATGTATTGTGTAAAATAATGTGTATATGCTTGCTGCATCCAAGCTAATTGTTCATTATTGCGAGGATCAATGTATTGTTGAGGTAAATATCGCTGCTGAGAATGAGGAACGGCACTATTAGTATTTTCAGGAGTCTGAAAACTGTTACTTCTGCTTTGAGTATTTCTGGTTGCGTCATCCATATTTTTTTCGGTTATCTGATCTTGGTTGGATTTTGTAAAGCTTGTTTTTTGTGGTGTACAAACTAAGTGAACAGTAAATGCCTGATCTTTCAAATCGTCATATTGCCTCAGAACATCTTTTAATTGTACTGAGTCATTTAACAATTGGCCAGAATAGATTAATTTTTGATGAGACGTTTCCTACAAAATACAACAGAAATTTAATTATGTTATTAAATACAAAAAAAGAAAATTAAAACATTTGAGGAATTTTGCTTCAAAATGATACAAATATTCAAGAGATTTTTAATACTATAAATATTAATATTTAGTCAAAATATAATATTAATACACCGAAAGCTTCTTAGTTCTAATTGAATTATGATAAAAAATGATCCTACGCGACCCAACCAGAGAAAATAAATTTAACCTCTGTGTATTTCTTACCTATGTATTAAAACGTGACATTTCTTTCACTTGCGTTTGACAAACACAACGAAAGGAAAAAAAAGACATTTAAAGAGAAACGCACGCTGCTTTCACCGGGGCAAGGACAATCACTTTCACGCGACTTACTGGTTTGCTGGGATAAACTTCGGAGAGGTATTCCTTCAGATGACCAATCGTCCACCCGAGATCGCACTTGACTACTTGGTCTTTGATCTGTTGATTCGGCGCCTTTATTATGAGACTAACGGCAGCGTCTGCCATCCTCGCCAAGCGTTACAAATTATTTCGAGGTCAGCTGTTGGCGTAGCACGCAACAGCGATTAGCAATTTTTGTCCTTTCGTGGCTTGTCGTTTAACCGAGGCCGGAAACGGCCAACTTCCTTTCTTGATCGTGACAATTTTCGATCTTTTCTCACAAAGAAAAAACTTTCTCGCAATCTCCTATCGCTTTCTTAACAATTTTTTTATCAAATTTTCACACGACCGCGCACACACACAATCACTATCGAATGTCATATGATATTGTACCCGAACGCAATTCTCTCTGTATCTGTAGTTATATATTTATCTTCGCAACAGGAAATTGACGGAATCACATATCTGGCGATCGCTCATTGGCTCGAGATTACGCGTTCCCCGTACGTGCCAAAGTGAGGTAGGAAACGGTATTATGCCTGTAGTAGTTACGTTAAACTCGTAGTACGGGTTGTGCGATTGACGGTTGCCAATTAGATAGAAGCAGGCTTGCTCCACCATTGGTTAATCCTTCCTTTATTGTAAAACCCTAAAGCCGCAACTCGTAGTATCATAGCACAGGCTTGAGGTTTTGCAATACAGGACTTCCCAAAAATTACTCTCTACTTCTCAAGTATTTCTCATCACATTTCAGAAAAATTTGACTATACATAAAAGTTTTGGGTATTATTATATTTGATTTTAAAATCAAATAATTTTAATTAAACAATATTTTGTTTAATATTTTCTTGGAAATGGATTTAAGAAATTGTTTTTTTACAATATTTTTAATTTTAACTAGCATACACATTCATTTTTTTCTTCTTCATGCTTTTCTGAGGCAGTGCAATTCCCAGCTTTTAACGTCCGTAGAAACTTGACAGCAGCAATAAAGAAAACATAGTAGACTTAGCAGAACCTTCCAGGAACCTGAAAGAACAAAACTTGACATTTTAATTTTCCGATTCCATATTGCAACATTTGTATTTTATAATTAAAGGAAGAGAAAGAAAGAGAATGAATAAAAGAAAACAGAAAAGAAAATATAAAAAAAAATAAAAAACAGACTACAATAAAAAACTTGCCATAAAGTATGTTCTGTATAAAAATATCTCCGATTATTTGTCCACCAAAGAAATAAAAATTAGATATTGCTGACATTGCCAAAAGAGGACTTGATAACATGCAATGAAGTCTCTTGGAATTTCTTGGAGATAGATACATATTTTGTATCTCACGAAATTGTTTGCTTCTACCTATTGTTTTTCCTATACTTTCAATTGTTAGTCCAATAAAATTGAACAATGTCCAGGTAAAAATATTCAGTTCCAATCCGTGCCATAGAAAGACAAACGTGAAACATAAAAATGATGCAATCAGTCTTCCACAATACACGTTTGCCTTTTGTATAGGAATATAAATATATCTGTAAAAACAAAATATAGAGACAATTAATATAATAATCACATTACTTGTAATACATAGAATTAAAATATACATCTGCAATTTTATCCATCCATTTTGATCGTATTAATTGCAATTAAGACAACTTACTTCACAAGAAATGTGTACAACCCTCTGTCAAAATGCTTCCACATGTCGGAATACAAATGAATTCTAGCTATGCACTTCGGTTTTGGTGGCACCTTAATGTTATCTAGATTACTCAAAGTACCGCAAGTTCCATATATCACCACATATTTATTTAGGAAAAATTGTCCCATACTATATCCTAAACCATACAATGCCCAAGGATTCAAATTTTGCACAACCTGGAAAAAGAAAACAGTAGAATACTTGAAACTCTTTATATCAATATAACGGTAATAATAAAATCACCTGTGGATGATATTGTATGGCATTTACGTAAACAAAATGCAACAACAGTTCAGTGAGATACAACCAAAATATGCATCTACTTAAATTTATTGCGAATGTTCGCAGTTCTTTCCAAGTCCAGTAATGATGCGATCTATCAATCTGAAAGATGTTAATATAATTTATTAATGGAATTTCTCATAAGATTCTATTCATTTCATCACACATATATAAAACGTGCGATGTTTCAAGAAAACCTACATACAGAGTCTACAAATTCATGATACAAAGTAAGTGGTCCCAAAAATAATGTAGGCAAGTATAGACAATATGCTAATTTCTGAATAAACCCGTATGAACTGTGTAAGTGATATTTTTCATTGCTATCTATATTGTGACTGATACTTCTTAAATGTGTCCAACACATTGCAATTGTCAAAGTGCAATGTTGCTCGTCACTGAGCTCCAGCCAGGTTTGGAAAGCACCATCAGGTATTTTTAAGACGTGTATTACAAACAGATATAAAACATGTGTAAACCATATTAAATTCTTGCCGCATACACATGTCAGTATATGTAAACAAGTAGGATGCAAAATCAGATACAACATACTCCATACACCTAAGTGATAACAGGTAAAAGCTAGAGATGACAAAATGTACCAACAACATAACACCTGAAAACATTTATAAGATTATTATTTCTTTTGTTCTCTTTGTTCACAAAGTTAGTATAAAATTTATTACACAGAAGAAATACATGTGTGAATAAAATAGAAAATGTCTCACTGTAGTTTTGCTGCTGTTGACTTTGATGTACTGACTAACAAAATTATGTACAAGAACACAAGGTATCAGTCTCCATACTAACGCAAGCCACACACGCCACTCTAAATCTGAAATATCTCGCTTTCTTCCGATCCACGTCCATCCGGAATCGAAATCTCCGTATTCGTCGTAATAATCATCAAAATCTGAAATTAAAAAAAAAAACATATATATATATATATATATATATATATATATGTAATGATGATTATATAGAGCTTCAAGAATTTTTAAATAATAATGAATTTTGGCTATTGAAGCAGTAACACTGTTGTTGGAGTGTATGTATTAAACTCCGTTTATTAACAATTAATAGTAAATAGCATGAACGCTTTCGACCCTTGTATTAGGTTCTTTTCAAATGCATTTAAATTTCTTAGATAAAATACGTCGCTCAATGCTGATCGAGAATATCCGCACTAGCCATCCCGACCAACACTTTACAAAGGTGAAATCGCGACTAGTCATTGAAAAGGACCTAATACAAGGGTCGAAAGCGTTCATGCTATTTACTATTAATTGTTAATAAACGGATTTTAATATATACACTCCAACAACAGTGTTACTGCTTCAATAGCCAAAATTCATTATTATATATATATATATACAAGTGAATCAATTTAATATTTACAATCTCATATATTATTCGTTGATTTGATTACTTACAATTTCTTGTCAAAGAAAATTCGTACACGGAGTAAATGACGGCGTATGACCACACAAAAATATACAAGTAACTTTCATATTTGTCGAAGCACACGAGGAGTTTCTTCATTATCAAATTTTCATTGTTTACTTAAATTTGCCGCTTTGTGCAACAATGTATGCACGACAACAACATGTATAACAACGTGTAGTATACATACGCGCAATATACGTATGTGCGCGCGTCATTAGAAATTTTCCCTAAAACAAATTTAAAACGCATGCGCGCGATTGCATAAAAAATTCCGGCAACATGCCATATGTCGCCGCTTGTCTTTTACTCTATTTTTCGATCCCTTTCGAGCCGCGTATGTGAGCGAACGCGCAAAACGAGTGTTCGGTCCGTTAAATATAATATAAAGTTTAGTTAATGATCGAATTTTTTGAATTCCGTGTTATTCGAATAAAACCGTGACTCGGAGGTTGAATTTGATTCGAGCGCTTTAAACACATCATTCTATCCTTCTTGCTCGCGTTGAAACAAAGACAAAACTTTAAAAGTCGCTTTAACCAAAGCGCGCTTCTCCTTTCTCTCTCCGCAACCACCCTCTCCCGTTTTTTCGCTATCGTTTTCCACTGCTGCACTTTACGGCACTGCACCTTCAAGTCGTGTTTCAAGTTTTCTGCGTTGTATGTGTACCTGTTGTACGTCTTCGTCGCCAGCCAGTGTGACTCATAATAGTACGGTATGTGGTAGAATTTTTTTCCCGTCTTCCAAATTGTCAACCATTCTGACGAGGACGGTTCCGTCTCGTCCGTGCGTTGCGCACTGACATTACGTACAAAAAAAAAAAAAAAGACGCGACAAAATTCTTATATGTAACCAAAAAAAAAAGAAAAAAAAACGGACATCGGTGTTTTCTCGCTTCAAACATTCTCGACAAATCGTTGTCCTCAAACGGGTTTCCGAGAACACATCGAAGGCACGTTTCGCAAGTGCCGTTTCCGAAGCTGAATTCAAGTGAGAAATTTCGGAAGTGAAGCAATATTGAGCAATTATCGATTAAAACACCACGTTCCGCACAAGACAGAACGTTTGTGTCTCGAGATTAACTTGAACTTTGGAACACAACAAAAATATTGCATATTATAGTGTAATCTGCGAAGGAACAATGATGGAAGTAGATCCGCCAGAATTTTTATCGAAAGACGATGAAATTCAATATTGGATAGATATGGTTCATCAAATACATCAAAGGTAAGGTTGTAGTTCAATCGTGCAAATTTTTGTTTACGTAAAACCACTTGCCAAGAAACAGTTTTTTATAAATCAAGTAAATTGGATTCTGTGTACAAGATTTCTACATGTAGACATGTATATGATTTTAATACGGTAACAAATTTAATACAACAGTAACAAAGTATGATTATTAATTTAGTAATTTTAATTAGAAATTTCTGATCTAATAGCTTTTTTTTTTTACACAAGAGTCAGAAACAATTGTTTATTCTTCTTATAGGAAAGAAGATGTTGAACGTGAACTAGAGGAATTCCAGGAGAGTTCACAGATGTTAGAGAAAGAGCTTGAGACATCATTAGAACAGGCAGAAAAGACAAACAGAGAATTGAGGCAAAGAAATGCAAGACTTGCCACAGAGGTTGAACAGCTAAGAATGCGATTAGATCAGCAATCTACAGATTGTGCTATGTTTCAAGGAAAAGCGCAAGATCTGCAGCAACAGAAGGAACATTTATTAAAGTACATTCGTGAACTTGAACAAAAAAATGATGATTTGGAGAGAGCGCACAGGTATTTCGTAGTTTTCTTTTAATAAAAGTTGGAAATTGTTAGTTAATAATCAGTCATGTAGTAAGAACAACAGCATATATGTTCTCTTTTTTATAGGATAAATAAAGTTACGGAAGAAGAAATAGAAGCTAAGTTTAATTTAGCTATAGAAAAGAATGCGTTACTAGAATCAGAACTCGATGAGAAAGAAAGCCTTAAAGCCAAAGTACAAAGACTAATGGATGAAGTCAGAGGTTGGTTTATTTTTTATGCGATGCATATTATTTTATAACTGTGGTATGTTTTTTAATTTCAGATTTAAAACAGGAGATACAAGTGCACGAACGACATCATTCGGATAATAACAAATCTACTGAAAGAGTGTGTAATAACATTGTTGACAGCAATAAACTACAGGCTGAATTGGAATCAAATTCACCAGCTAATCAAATAGTCACACAACTACCTACAAATAACACAACAACTTCACCAATAAAAAGTACGATATATTGTATATACTTTTATATTACAATGAAAGAATAATCATTAAAATATGATAATAGATTTATGCAAGTTTTGTTTGTGTGATTATAATAAATATAAGTAACATCGATCTTCTTTCATGTTTTCTTTTACTAGTTGGAAACGGATTGGTTGGGAATAACAACAACAATAATATGAATCAAACATTGCCACCCCGTACTAGAATATTAGCAATGAATATGATCGGTGATCTAATGCGAAAAGTTGGGGTAAGTGTATACGCAATACATCTCGATATCTTTTTGTTACAATTTGCTGACTTGTAGTCTAAAGCATGACCTGTAATTTTCTTTAATTTTGCACAAGTGGCAGAAAGTATGTTTACTTGCTGTATATAAGTTTGACGATACTAAGAAATTTTGTATTGACACATGGACTATTTCAGTAGTTATTCTGAGTGATAAACATATTTATTCGTATGGGGAAACAATTATATAGCAAGTTAATAGAATCTAATTGCGTGCATAGTGAAATGCACGCAACAATAAGAAAGTTGTACATATTTCCCACATAAATGAACAATAAATCGCATACTTGACTTGCGTTTTAAGTAGTTGGTAGATAGTGTGATGTAGCTGATATTTCGGCAGCTTGACAAATGGGTCTGCATGGGCTGTAGAAGAATAAAATGCACTTGTCCGAGTGGACAAATATCAAATACCACTTCGCCTACCGACTTATCAGCAGCCCAATCTCACGCATCTGCTCAGTGTATACGCCAACAACCTAGACCAACCGCATGCAGATCTTCCTGATTCTCGCCGTTAGATTATTTTGCATCTCTTTAAAAGAGGTCTTTGGTTGGATTTTTTCTTCATTATTGCTCCCAACTGGGGTTCACTGCGTGCGTCAGACTTATTATTTGTATATTACTGAACACTTTCCACTCACCTGAAAAAAACTACCTCTGTATGCTTCTTACCGATTTTGTTACGTATGTGTATATATGTATATAAAAGATAGGCCGCATAAAGTTTTACGAGCTATTTTTCCGAGATCTAACGTATTATTTTCGTCTCAATGTTCTTGTTGGACATGAAGCTTGTTATTGTATAATAATAGCTTGGTAATGCTCAATGCGGCTCATTCTGTGTGTGCGAAACATTTGTTATAACTTTGTTAGTGATGTATTTCTCATACCATCTATAACAATCGATACGAAATATAAACTAATATATAAATTAATTATATTGTACAATCATTCATTCTTTCTTACAGGCGTTAGAGAACAAACTAAACACATGTAAAAATGCGTTACGAGAGGATCAAGCCGTTCGCGATCTCTACAGGTAACACAGCAATCATTTTTAATTACGATAAATTATGTTATTATATTCTTGTTTTGTTGTGCATTGTACTCACACACAAGCAAATATCATGTATCTACACACGCACACACAAAATATAAGAGGATACATGATATATTTAATTGTACTTATTAGTGTGCCTTATTAGTTGTACAGTCGAATCTCGATAATTCGAATCTCAAGAGAAGAGCTAAAATCTTCTCGAGTTGTAGAGGTTTCGACTTATCGAAATTTCCTTTTTCCTTCCGCGGAGCGGAAGGGAATGAAGAAAATTTTCGTCTTATAGAGGTTCGAATTATCAAGGTTTGACTGTATAATTCTATTAGTTATGCTTATTATGATCAACCTCAAGATTTTCCTATGCACGCGCAAACACACGTACGTATTTATTTATGTATGAATGTATTTATGTATATAAGGCTTTTTATGTGTGTGCAGTTTATTTATTATATAATGCTACTTTTTCTCAAAATAATGAAATAATTTACACAGTTTTTTTAAATTCGAAAACTTGTATGTGTAAAAAAATTAGCAATATAAAATTCTTTATTTATACTTATTTTTATTTGCTCAGACTTATACCACGACTTTGTATCATATTGCTTGCTATTTGTTTACACACACACACACACACATGTATGTGTATGTATATATATATATATATACGAACCACTATATATTTATATGCTTCTTTTTGTATGAGTAGTTAGTGACATTTTTGTTATTCTTATGCACACACAGTGTAATAAATCCTTATTGTGTCTTCTCGAAAGACTTATAACTCACACTTTCAAACTATTACGGCATATATTTATTAAATAGTGTGCAAACAGCTACTCATTAGTACATTTTTAGCGTTAGATAAACCATAACAAGAGATTATTGCGTTTGTTTGATTAGACTTAGACGACAAGTCAGAAGCCCAGCCACAGGAAACAACAACCCCATACGATTATAAGCAAATTGAAGGATAATGTTGCAGCTATTATGTATCTGCACATCAGACAATTTCAATGTAATGTTAGTCAAAATTTCTTCTCAACAATTCCGTTATTAAGTTATTTATTATTATAAACATTCGCGAGTAAGATCAAAATATCTGTATTTATGGCTTCGATCAATTTCTCTATTTAATCTACAAGCTTTTTCAAATGTAATCAAACTATGCACGTAACTATTTGTTATTCGTGTGAAATTTTTGAATAATGTGGACAGAAAATTCGCATAGTCTGGTTTCACCGTTATAACATATAACAGGGTGCCTCAATATTTGTCGCAAAGCTGTGTAATAAAAGTTTTTGTCATTTTTTTTTTTTTTTTTAATTTTCAGTAATAATTTTTGAAGTACAAGATTTTTGAAATGCAGTTAACAATTAAACATAATCGCAAACAAATAATTGTTCGTTTCTGACGTATAATAATTCAATTTAATTATTTTTTTTAATCCTTTAAATCTTTTTTTAATCTTTTAAATCTTTATTGAATATTTTCTAAATCTTTTGTATCACAAAAGCTGCTGCTCGAGGGAAAAAAATGTCAAAGATTTTTATTATTTATCAGTTTTGCCAGAAACTTTTTTTACCGTAGTATCTTTTAGCAAAAAAATTGGGGACTCTATATTCTACGTATACATATATACGCTCGCCATACGCAACAATGTATAACCGTGTAGGAAACAACAATTGATTTTTCATGTAATTTAACGAAAAAGATTAATAAAAATAATAAATTTATCTCGTTGTATCGACATGTTCAAAATATATATAGATATACTTTTTCTTTTTTTTTCATCAGTAATATAATTAGTAATATATATTGTATCGCGAAACGTTTTTATAATTTCCCTGACATCACGCTATACAAAAATTATAATTAAAATTATATAAGTAGCATAGAAATTTGTAAATATATTATATATGCATATATACGAAGTGAAAGACTTGGGGCAATATACGAGCGAATATTTTTATTTTTAAGCGTCGCGTAGAACATATTATATTTTGATAATTATTTTTATTTTTTAACTAAATACATGTTTATTGATGTTCAAAGAAATACATACCTTTTTAGAGATCGCATGTAGAAGTGTATCAGAATACAGAATTTATTTATATATTTTTTCAGTTACTCATTCACCAATTGATAACATGTACGACTTTTGGCGTATTATATTTTTTGCCTCAATCTTTTCACTAAATATGAACTGCAAGCAGTTATAAAATAATGATGTACCATTATTTTGTTAGAAAAAAAAATTAATTTGACATTTTTATAGGTGATATTGTACGATTATATAAATAATTTATTAAATTTGATTATATTTTAAATTTAACGTGTAATATATATTATATTATACAGTGTAATTTATGATGTTGTGTTTATCATTTTTCTCTTCTCTGTCTGTAGTTAATGTACAGGTAAAGATCTTTACATACGAAGATGTACTTCTCACTGTTAAGATATTATTAAGAGATTATCAGTGTGCAACTTCATATGTAAAGGCATAAAAGCCTTTGCCTGTATATGTTTGTCTGTAATATAATTACTGTATATGCTTTGTAAAAAAATGTACTTCAAGCGTAATTTTAAAATATATACATAATATTCTTCTATTTTTTCTATGTTCGTGAAAAGATGTTTTTCTATTGGGAGAACTTTGTGCGTATAGCGAACTGAATCGATTTTGTTTTTCAACGATTACGTCGTATTAAAGTTGAGATTAAAGCACGAATGTGATTTATATTCGTTTAATTCTCAAACTGCAAACGTTTTTTTGGCACCTTCCGTTCACAAACCAGGGTCGTTTGTGTTCCACTGTAATTTTCTCTATGTTAAAGTTATGGAAAAATTCTGAAAAAATTTACTATCGTACTATCTTTAAACCTTCTACTTTACAGATCAATTAAAACATTTTGGAAGAAAATAATTTGTTTAATTTTTTAATATACCTATACGAAGTAAATCGATCATGAAATGTAATTTTGTTTAAAAACCGTAACTTTGCGAGAAATTGGTCGAATTAAAAAAAGTGCTCAAATTAAAAATGAAGGTTGCAGTTTCCAAAAAAAAAATTATGCTATTGCATTTTATTAAAGTTAAATGCTTAATTTTTTACATAAACGCGGTTTTTACATTTGTAAATGCTGGCGTTTTTTTGAAGTGAAAACTAAGACTTTTTATTTTAAACATTTTTATTCAAAATAATAACATTAGACCATAACAAAATAGTCAATCTGTTCTTTTGATCAAAGCACCCAGAGTTAGCTCGTCGGAAGAGCGCTGCTCTATTTCGAAACTATTATAAAAAAAAAAACAAGGTTTTAATTAAAAAATATTACGATCACACTTTAAATTAAGCAAAATTATGTGAAAATCAGATAAAAAACAAAAAAACTTTTTGCTTATTTGTACAAAAAGTATACATATAATTTGTACAAAAAGTATACATAAAAGTATACATACGTAGTCCGCAAATCAGGATCGTTCTTCTCCGCTCGAGATTTTGTTTTATCACTGTGGCTGTCGAAGTTGTATCGAAGATCTGAATTTGGCCCTTAGATTCCTCTCTTATACAACTTTTTTTTAAGACGGAGTCAGACCGCTCTCCCTTCTCTCGTCTGTAAGTTATAAACGCAAGTAGATTTTGCGCTGACACAAATGACCTTGGTTTGCAGTTTGAGGGTTAATTCAACTTGTTTTACGTTAACTCTTTATCATAGACAGGAAAATCCACATTATTACGACACTGAAAAATTTGTTCAATATAAAACATGATTTAATCAAAGTTCTATTTATAATTAGGAAACGTATATACAGCAGTTCCTCGCTAATGTGTGTCGGCATGCTCGGTTCAGCGACGTGAATACTATCGAGGGAGGGAGATATTGTTCCGAGAAAATTGCCGGCTGTTATCTCTGATTGGCTCGACCGCATCGTAGGCAAAAGCGAGAACGAGAACCATTGAGTGTGAGTGAAATACATAATGCAAAGTATTGTTCTCATCCCTACCAATTCCTGGTGCTTTGCCGAAGTTTCGCACTTCCAGGAATTGGTGGGGATGACTTTGTGAACAATACTGAGGGATAATTGCGAAGATTAATGAAAAACTAAATGTGTATCGCTGTGATTCTCGGAATCAGGCTCTCACAAACTTTCCCGCTTGTCCTCTCGGTAACTTTTGCGGTCAGTCGAATCTGATCTGCCTAACTGGTCGTATCGTCTATTCGAACGAGTCTCTATTTAATTTACGTGTACGTGCGCGAAGTGAAATGCCTGGTTCGAGAAAAGATACCACAGTGAAGGAACGATTAGAAATTATTCAAAAATTACAAAATGGTGTTAGTGTAAGCGACTTGGCCAACGAGTATGGCTTGAGCAAAAGATGCATTAACAAATATCGCACAAATGCATTACAAATTCAACAACTTGCGGAAACTGGAAATTTAAAAGAAATGAAAAGAATCCGTACGTCTCCCGTTGAAGAGATTAACATTCGCTTAAATACGTGGATCTTGGAAAGACGTGCGTTAGGTGACACACTAACGGATAATATTTTACAGCAAAAAGCATTAGAGTTGCATCGAGAATTTGGAATTTCAACAAAATTCACTGCGAGCCACGGTTGGTTATGGCGATTTAAAAAAAGATACAACATTCATTTGGTTCATACTCACGATGAGCAAGTTGACGCCGATAAAATCGCCGCGGAGCAATTTATTGAAGAACTGGCGAGAAAAATAGAACAAGAAAATATCAATGCAAATAATATATATAACATGAGCGAATCGGGTTTATTATGGAAAAATCTTCCGCGGAAGACATTGGATCGCACAAAACGAATGGAAGGTAACAAAGAGAAAAAGGATCGTGTGAGTATAGGATTTTGCGCAAATTCCACGGGCACTCACAAATTACCCTTATTGTTTATACATAAATATGCTTGTCCACGAGCGTTAAAACATATTGAGAATAATTTACCTGTCGTATACAAAAATCAAAAGAACGCGCGGATGGACGAAGAAATTTTTGACAATTGGTATATAAATCATTTTCAACCGACCGTCAGACAGCGACAATTACGAGATAATAATACAGGCAAAGTTCTTCTCTTAGTTAACAATTTTAAAAATCATAATGTTCGTGACGAAGAAAACGAACACTTCGAAATAATGTTTTTGCCGAATACGACTTCCGTTCTGCAACCGATGGAACAAGAAGTAATTGCAAAATGCAAAAGATCTTTCCGTTACAACTTACTTCGAAAGGCAAGTAATGAATATTATTCATGTCATAACGTGTTCTTCTCACTGAGCCGATTGCAATCATCGTTCTATTGTTTTATCATTCTATCACTTTAATTTCATAGGTAGTTCAATGTCCGAGGGGAATCCATGAGTTTTATTTTAACTACGATATTAAAGATTGTATTGATTTAATTCACGACGCTTGGGAATCAGTATCACAGACAAATATTTACAACGCGTGGCGACAACTCCTCGAGCGGCGGAACATAGAAATAAAAGAAAAAGTAGAAATAAAAGAAGAACAAATTGAAAATTATTCTTTCGACGAAGTGAACGATTGGATTTCTCATTGCGAGGAAGCTGAATTAATTCGTGAAAACAATGAAGAAATAACATCACGACGACATTGCGAAATAGCAGAAGATGAATTAGAAGACTTATTTGATAAATTAAGTTTATGGGCTGAAATACAGCCAGAATTTATTCAGTCGCATGCTAAAATATTAATAGATTATTATCATCAAAAATAATGTTGTGTAAGTTTTACACATTCTTTTTTTATTACTTTTTTTTTATTTTTATAAACCTAACCTAACTCTAATCTCTTCGATACGATGCACGTGCGTCACTAACGGCCTTTTGTCGCATCAGTTGCATACAAGTTACATTCGGCGTTGTTGACCAAAGTCGACGCTCGGCCAGTGAGTTATTTGAAAAAATTTGTACTGGTAGATTAAGAACTTAGGAATCACTGTGCAAAAAATAAAAGGACCTTTCTATGCAATTAAAGACAAAAATAATTTGTTAAAACGGCGATTTTGAATTATGAAGAAAACGTGGCAACAGCACACATGACATCAGCTGATGATTTACTAGATTTGGTGCAAAATTGGCTCAGTGGACCGAGTTAAGTTAGTCCATACTAGGGCTGCGGCTTAAATTCGAATAACAGTGTGATTCGGATATTCGGATATAATATATATGTACGAATAAACTTCGATCAACGGATAGTTTTCGAATATCCGGATACTTCGTGCAGCGAATAGTACAAATAGTACTATTCGAGTTATTCGAATATCCGTATTATCCGGATATTTCGATATACTCAGTAGCGTATAAACTAGCTTGGGACCTTTCAGTACTCGGAGGCAGAAATGTGATCACAAAAGTAAAAAAGTCTATTACAAATACAAAAATAATGATATTTATTGTTCAAGAATTTATACTTGTCATTTACGAGTAAGTTTACTCTAATTCTGATATTATATTATAAAAGATAAAGAAAGAACTTTACTTTTTCTTTGTACATATTAACTTATAAATTTAAATGCATAAATATTTAAAAGTTTCATAAAATCGTATATAGAATTGTGCACATCTATACACATAACTGTATATGAATATGAAATTGTATGTAGGTACATATGTGAGTAAATATAAAATCGTGTGTATATTTATTAATTACTATCAGTTTAAAACTTGATCAATAATAGTTTGATTATAGCTGAGAGATGTGCGATTGTCGTTCTTTATTTGGTGCGTACTACTTTTAATTATTTTACGGTTTTGCTTTTTCATTGTACAAAACTTTCACATTTACAAATTGTTAGTTAGTAAATACAGGAAAAAGAAGCCGATACAAGCAAAAAACTAGATGTTTGTGTTTGAAAAAGTTTATTTAAATATTTACGTCAAATTTTTTTATTCAATTTTCAGATCTTTAATCAGTGACAATTTAAATGTATAATTATAAATAAATATACAAAATTTAATTAACCTTACGCAAAGTTAACATAACTTTGATAATTTATTAATGCTTTCAATAATTATAATAATAGATTAAAATTCACTATTGAGACACATGATAACTCTGTGAACTTTTTAGATGTAAAACTGATTATTAACAACAATAAAGAAATTATATGTACATATTATATGAAATCTGTCTCTGAATTGAGTCATATAAAATTACAAAATAATTCAATCATTATCATGTCGGACACGGGAGAAATGTCGCAAGTTACATGTTTGACTGCACAATGCGACCTTCATTATTCGAATTGTTCTATCCGTTTTATTCGGAGTGTACAAATATCCGAATATTCGTTCCCCAGCTATTCGAAATCCGGATACTTCGAAGTATCCGGATTACGAATAATCGATGACGTCACTATCCGGATATCCGGATTCTTATTTATTCGAATAACCGCAGCCCTAGTCCATACGCCATTCTAGAATATAAAGAATATACAAAGACTACTACAGCAAAACATACGCTATGCTTTGCTTTGCTAAAAATCAAAAAATTATGTTGTCGACTGAAGAAGACCGAGAAACGATATTTCCGTGACGACGGTTACGTTGGAACTTTTGATGATTTAAGCCCCTTGCACAATGGAAGGAATAGCGATAGCGATAGAAATAACACAGTTTTTAACACAAAATTCCAACTTGTGTCGGAAATTTTATCGCTATTGCTTATTCCGATTTTCTGATCTGCATTGATACATGTGTAGTTTTGTATGTTAGATTCCGCTGTTCCTACCTTTATTTTTAAATATAAACTCTTTAAAACTTTTGTTATTTCTATCGCTATCGCTATTCCGTCCATTGTGCAAGAGGCTTTACTACGTAGCGTACTCATAGACGTATAATATATAGACTGCGCGTTTGGCTGAAAAGATGTCTTCAACGTTGAGAGAGACAACATACTTTAAATAGTAACTCTTTCTCTGTCTATCATTTACCCCACTACTTCGCTAGACAAAGATGAGGCTACTATTCAACATCAGCTGTCTCTCTCTCAACGTTGAAGACATTTTCTTAACATGGCAAAGGTAGGGAACGCGCAGTCTATATATTATACGTCTATGAGCGTATTGTTCAGCAGAACAAGCATATATGTAATATTCCTATATTGCTATTTTTGAAATCAGCTGATGCCATGTGTGCTGTTGCCACGTTTTCTTCATAACTCAAAATCGCCGTTTTTGGTGTTTTAATAATTATTTTTGTCTTTAATTGCATAGAAAGGTTCCTTTTATTTTTTGCACAGTGATTCCTAAGTTCTTAATCTATCAGTACAAATTTTTTCAAATAACTGTCATTTTCATCTTACTTTTTTTGTCTGTTAAAATATGAGTCCTATAAGAACACATGTTGAAAGTCTGGAATTATCGAGTTTTTAACAACGATTTTCTCGGAATTTTCCATGAAACAAATATTGAAAAAATTTGTAAAATTTTTTTTTATGGCCAAGAACAAAATTTTCAAGTTTCAAAATCTTTTGTCATGTTTTAAAAACGTTCCAAACCTTAAGGTAGTTGTTCTCAAAAACGAGTTTCATAGGAATGTCTTGAAATTTTAACCGCATGTTAGTATAAGTCTTATCTACATGTGGTTAAAATTTTTATGACTTTTATCGTCTCAAATTCGAGTTACTTGCCTTCAAAGTTTCAACTTTTAATACGTAATACGTATATCTTGCCGAAGTGACAATTATAGCACTATCTCCGAAAATTTTCTTAGGAATTTGTTAAAAAACTAATATATAATGTAAAATGTCTATAAGAATATAATAAAAAAAAGAAAAAAAGTTGTTTATCGTTTAGTTATTGAATAAGAGCAATGTAAAGTTTGGAATTTGGCTGATTGTGCAGAGCATGGAAGTCGTAAGTGGTGGGACGTTGCGGAGACTTAACAACGTCGTACGCACCATATACAGGGTGTCCCAGAATTGCCGTAGAATCTCTTGTAGGCAGGTAGAAGGAGTAAAACTGAGTCGAAAAGTCCTGAACCATTTTTTTCTATTATTTATAATAAAGGAGTAATTATTGAGTAAATCAGGCCAATCAGCGCAGACCTTTAGCCAGGCGCACGTCAGTGAGCCGCGCGCCTGGTGTGTGTGAGTGCTCAATAATTACTCCTTTATTATAAATAATAGAAAAAAATGGTTCAGGACTTTTCGACTCAGTTTTACTCCTTCTACCTGTATACGAGAGATTGTATGGCAATTCTGGGACACACTGTATATAATACTTCTATATTGCTAGTACGGTGCCGACCTGAAGCCCAAATGTTACGGTGCAGACAATATAGTAGCCTCTCTCTCGCGCAAGGTCCAGCTACTTTGTGCGCATGCGGTGAACATTCAAGCACGCTTGGGCATTTCTCTTTCTCGCGTTCTTTCTCTCACTTTCCAATGCTTTGTCTCGCTCGCACTCGCTTAGTAGACGCGCCTGCGCATAATGACGCTCGACTATCTATGCCCATATTTGGACTTCGTGCGTCTCTCTTTCTCGGGCCTCCTTCCTCTCATTGCGAAGATACGCGACTAGCAATATAGAAGTATTATATATATGGTATGTAAGTATTAGTGCATGCTTACCATAGACTTATATAATAGACGGAACATTTATATGACGAAGTTGAGAACAACATTAAAGGACAGAGATAGTGCTGGAGTAGTTGTCTCTCTCTCTCTTACAATAAGATAGTGGGGGACCAATCATCTCACAAGTCTATGCTATCATCTTTCACTATCACTTTCTCTCAACTGACTCTCGAACTCTATCTTCGTTGCTCTCGGCCTGCCGCGGCCACCAATCAAATCACTGCTAGAAAAGAAGAGAATTACTCCACGACTATTTCTGTCTCTTTTAACGAAGCTTCAGCTCCTCTTACACTAATGTTCCGTCTATTATATAAGTCTATGATGCTTACTTTGTAACCTAACCTAACCCTCACGAATGCTCGTGTCCATGTCGTGAACACGATGCTAACCTAACCTAACCTATACGTTAAATGAAACGTTGCCGCTTCGTCACTTTCTTCGACTAAACTTTTTATTCTGAATGTACGAGAACTATCTTAATATAATAAACAGTATACCCTATTTTTAGTACTCCTTTTCTAATTCTTACCCTAATCCAACTTAACCTAACCTAGTCTGTGTAAGCAAACTCATTCAAATTTGATCTTATTTGGTATCATTTTTTTGGGGGGAAAAACCTCGGCAATACGATTAAAATTATCTTATAATTATAAATTAAAAAATATAAAAATTTATAAATATATATATATATATTCGGTCATGAGAGCCGAATAGGAAAGGCGACGACGGCACGGAAAGCCGGAAATTCCAGGTTTGACTCCTGGCCGAGGAGTTTTTTTCGCAATATAAATTTAATTTCAATTAGGGGGGTATTTGGGATTTCTCATATATGAGATGCAAGTAGCATCCTATATGAATTTTAGAATTGTTATTACAATTCGAATTTCACGTGTAAAAATTTACACGTGAACACGTATATATGTATATATATACACGTATAATTTACGCACAACACCTAGCGAACGGCTCTCATGACCGAATATATATATATTTATTAGTTTGGAAACTTCGGAGCCTTAAAAGATTCTTTAATTGTTTATAAAAATTTAATTTTTACCGCTCGGTGACTCATTCGTAGCTACATACGTCATTACTGATCACGAGTTATAGATGACGCTCGCTTCGCCGAAGCACTTTCAAGAATTGGTGGAAATGATTCCGCCAGTAATATACCGAGGAAAAATTTGCAAACATTAGTGACGAACTATTAAAACACCTCACAAATCGATGGGTATAAAATTCAACTGGAAAACCACGTCGTATGAAGATTTATTTACGAAATGCCTTTATTTTTCACAAAGTTTTTTACACAATATTTAAGTGATCAAAACAATTTATGTTAACTGAGTACTGAAATCTAATGTGTTTTAGCACACTACATCTTGTCATCATGAGGGGATGTCTCTTATTCTAGCGCACACTTTTTTTTTTGTGAATACTAATGATGTGATATTTTAATGCATACTATATATATATATATATATATTTATATTATATATTAACGCTAATGAAAGAGATACATAAAATAAATCGTGAAAGAAATGACGTGTTACTTTTCCACGTTGTCTCACCAAAATTAATTTGTACGGGTACAAGAAATTTTGTAATAAATAAACAAAATTCACGTGGATATAAACTACTAAAAGTTGAATGCGTTTCGAGAAACAAAATTTCGAGAAAATGTTCTTGCAATTGAGAACAAAAAAAAAAAAAAAAAAAAAAAAACCATCGAGAGAAATATAACATGGTTAGCACATCTATGTCTCTATATAGATAAAACAGTAATATGTAAAGCTGGAATGAAAGAATAATTATCCACGATAATTGCGAACAGTAATAATATATAATAATTATCAATAATATTAATAATAATATAATAAAATAATAATCGTAATAAACGGGTATGTGTGTGGGAGAGTTACATGGTATTTTTTAAGCACGCTCGCCACGAATTCGCCGCGCCAATTGGATATCTTTAGGCATGATTGTTACGCGTTTTGCGTGAATCGCGCACAGATTGGTGTCCTCGAAGAGACCGACGAGATAAGCTTCCGAAGCTTCTTGTAACGCGCCTATGGCGGCGCTTTGAAAACGCAGATCGGTTTTGAAATCCTGCGCAATTTCACGAACCAGTCGCTGGAACGGCAACTTTCTGATCAACAATTCCGTCGACTTCTGGTATCTTCTGATTTCTCGAAGAGCCACAGTACCGGGTCTGTGTGTGAGAAAGTAAAAGATATTCCTTAATTCATATACGGACTAACATCTCTAATATGAAATCAATTTAAACAATAATATTGTTTAGTTTTTTAATAAAATATATATTGCGCGTCTTATGCATTTAATATAATAATTCTGTATATATACCTGTAACGATGTGGCTTTTTCACACCACCTGTGGACGGTGCGCTTTTTCTTGCCGCTTTTGTAGCCAATTGTTTACGAGGAGCTTTTCCTCCCGTTGATTTACGAGCTGTCTGCTTGGTACGTGCCATGATTTAATCTGAGACAATAAGTAACAACAACTTTGTTTCACTGATAAAAACATCACATTTATTAAGATTTCAATAATATCAGTAATTTTTCAGCCTCATTAAATTTGTTTACAATCTAAAATTAAACACACTCTTTATCCATTTTTTCTCTAATTATTAATTTCTTTTCTATTACCGATAAGCTTGAAATAATGGGGAAAACATTGTGCTGAATAGCGGTAACGTATCACGAACTAGAAAAAAAAAAAAAAAAAACAACACTGCGCGCGTGCAATTGTGTTCTTGTTACACCAAGAAAAACTATATATACGTACATATTTGTGTGTATGTGTTGCGCAATGCGCACAGAACTTTCATTTCCCTGCAACGGCAAAGGGAGAATATAGCGAGAAAAGGTGCGGAAAAGTGGAGGGAAGGAGAGAAAAGAGAGCGAGGGAGGGGGGGGGAATTGCTGGAGGAAAATTGCTGTCAAAGCTATATTGAAGATACACATTTGTTTTGAGAACAATTTGTCCAGGCAATTCGACGACGACGTCTTTGTTTTTTCACGAGATCCGGCGAGAATCGTCTCAACGACGTATTCGTTCGGAATCGTTCGGAAGAAAACCGGAGGAAATATCTGTCCGGCTTAGTCACAAAGCGCGTTCTGTACGTGACCATCAATCTCAAAATGGAGGCAGCTCGGCGAGAACGGACGCGACAAACACACGCGTGCACGCGTCTCGATTTTCCCGGATTTTTCGTTTAGCGCGATCAATGTAATCGCCGTCTGAATTTTATCGATTTACACGCACGCACAATGTTTTCACCAAAACATAACACTGTTGTGATTTTACCTACCCTCTCAGCAAATAACAGGACGAGCGCGATTAAACTAGGATGCACTATCCCTTTCTTCGCACACCTCGATGGCAGTGGACGCTTTCCGGAGTCACGGCTGCTCGCTCGCGTCTCTCTATCTCCCTCTCCCCCCTCCCTCCCATCTTTATACGGCGAAATTAAATCGTGCGAGAGGCACGTAAGCCCGCGGCGCTACGTCGACCAATCGGACGACAGGCCGTCGGCCGGCTAGTGTAACCGTATTGGTTGCGCAATGCATCGAGTTGCGATTCTTCGAACGCGCTCGACATTCTACACTGCTGTAGAATAGTGTACTTCGACAGGGAATTCCCTCTCTACGCGTGCATTGTATTCTTCAGCCAGATGATCGGTTTTGAAGTTCTGAATCAGTCAGCAGCGTACACACACACACACACACACACACATACACGCAGTCCGTCTGTCTATTCCCAGTCTGCTCGTCGATGCTGACTGGAGCAGCAGCGTCCAATTATGCTCACGATACTTATACAGAATAAACGTCAAAGCATGAGCAAATTTTTTTTATTTAACATATCTATGTAACTTTGTAAAAGCTGCATTTGTATACATATAAATGTAAAAACATGATAAATAAATAGCTTCTTTATAAAGTTCTCCATGACATTTGATAAATAAATAAATAAAAACAGACTCATGTTGAGATATTTTCTTTATGCTGTCATAAAATATTAATGTTTATAAAACGTATCGTAAAATACTAAATGTTTTATAAACATAAAATATTTAATGGTTATAAAACATTAATATTGTAAAACATATCAATGTTTGTAAAACATTAATGTTTTACGATGTTTTATAATCATTAATATTTTATGATGGCGGATAAGGAAAATATCTCAACATAAGTCTGTTTGTAAAATATTAATATTTTATAATAGTAAAAAAAGAATATAAGGAAAAAACTCTAATTTATATTTTTAAAAATATAAAGAAAAAAATGACTTAAATTTTAATTTAAATAACTAATATTTTAATATTATTTTAATAGAGGGAATATATTATTTTAAGAGGGAAAAATTAAGTAGGGAGCTGTATGATACATTGGTATGCATACACAAAAAACCATGTTTCTATTACATCAATTAGAAAATGTATTTCATTGTTACAGTGATTAGAAGTATTATAATCATTATTAAAACACAACTTATAATAAACTGGTTCGAGACACAAAAAGGACTGTACTAGTGATATTTTTCGAAGAGCTGCTCTTCATGTTTTTTTACGGTTTATTAAAAACATAAATTTTGTTTAAAAAAAAAAATTGTTACTTAAAGAATACAATTTCACATATTTAATTTGCACGTATTTATGTGTGGTGTTTTTTTGTTTTGTGTACATTCTGTGATCAAACACACTCATAAATACTTATACGCGTCACGTTATGTATAACAATAAATTTACATTTCAGTATGTATCACGAGAATCTTTGCAACAACATAAAAATATTTTTATGAAGTGCCAATTAGTTCACATTTTTTATAATATTGATTTATTGATACATACATCACCGTGGTTTTTTTTTTTTTTTTTTTTTTTAAGTAAAGAGTACACTTAAAACTCTAGTGCTAAGAGAACTAAAAGTACATCTAAGTGATATTACTAATGTATACATATATATGTATGTATATTGGCAATATTACTAATATATATATGCACATATATATAGTATATACATACATATATATTAGTGATATTACTTAGTAAGCATCTAATATACTATAATAATTAAAGGTTCTCTAAAGGCGGCAACCGACTTGTAACATACAATATTGTAATAACATTGTAACGCGCGAGCATACGCTAGTAGTCAATAATACCGCGTAATACTCGCGATCCGAGTTGTTTGATAGATCCACTTGGTTGTCGGTATTTTCGCGAATCTTTTTTATTGTTACAAGTTAGTGTAGAAGGCGCGTCTCGTTTGTTTCAATAATTGAAAAAAAAAAAAAATAATAAATTAATTTGAGCACTCTCGAAGCAAGCATTCGTTGTGTCGAGCGTTGTAACACTTGGCACTAAAGCATAAAACAAAAATTTTTCGGTTTCCTTCTAATCAGTCGCCGCCTTAACATATCCTCGGTACGTAGACACTATATCCAGTCCCATTATGTGTGGTTTTATCATTTTGTGTCTCAGTAAGCATTGTAAATTCCATTTGTACGTAAAGAGAGAATTATTGGGTATGATTGAGAGAATAATCTACTTACTAATAGATAGTAATACAAAGCATGAATATAGTCACTATAGTAGTTTAAAATAAGTTTCAAGGTGTCATGTTATCGAAGGACGAAAAAGGTAAAGAAACCTCTATGTGTAATATTGCAGTGTGTGTCCTACATCTTTTTCATCTATTTAAGTATAAAAGAACGATTGCACATTGATTTTACAGCAATTCTGATGGTCTGAATTTCTGATGCTTAAAACAAATAATTTTTCCTTATTATTATGATTTCTTTTTACTTTTTTTTTTTTTTTTTTTATCTCATCCCATATTAAATCTCCATTATATTGTGTCGAATTACAAGAGTTTACATTAGAGAAACTCACTCCTTATTTAATTCTGATTATTTACTTCTTACATCAATTGGCAGTGTTGACTACAGTAAATATACACAGAAAGAATTGTTTGAACGTCTCGCTTGTTTAAAAAAAAAGAACATACATTATGATAATAAAATAAGGAGTGCAATTGTGAGTGATTTAAGCACGTTCACCGCGAATTCGTCGTGCCAACTGAATATCCTTTGGCATAATGGTGACCCGTTTGGCGTGGATAGCACACAGATTTGTATCTTCAAACAAACCGACCAGATAAGCTTCTGATGCTTCTTGCAAAGCTCCAATAGCAGCGCTCTGGAAACGCAGATCGGTCTTGAAATCCTGGGCTATTTCACGAACCAGACGTTGAAACGGCAATTTTCTAATCAACAACTCTGTTGATTTCTGATATCTTCGAATTTCTCGAAGAGCTACAGTGCCAGGTCTAAAGAAAATCACAAAAATTTTATATAAAATTTATACAAATATTGAAATGATAAAAATAACACTAAAATGCAACAGTAATTATAAAAATATTAAATAATAATATATTGTAATTAATATTAATATGAATTATAAAACTAAAATGTTAAAATATAAAAAAATTAAAGACAATATATCTAAATACAATTTAATTTTCGTTCGTTTGTTTCTTAAAGATACTTAAACTGATGTTTTATAAAAACTGCAAAAAAAAAAAAAAAAAAAAAAAAAAAAAAAAAAAAAAAAAAAAAAATCAAATTACAAATCCGCTCTAATTGACATACCTGTAGCGATGCGGCTTCTTGACGCCTCCAGTAGACGGTGCACTTTTACGCGCAGCTTTGGTAGCGAGTTGTTTACGAGGAGCCTTTCCTCCGGTGGATTTACGAGCTGTTTGCTTGGTTCGTGCCATGACTGCAAATATTTATAATAACTTTACTTTTTCGGGGAAAAAAAAAAAAAAAGAGTCTTTCTCGCGCGCGCACAAGAGGGAGCGAGAGAGAGAGAGAGAGAGAGAAAAAAAAAACAAACGGTAACTCGATATCGGTATTGGTCGAGACGAGGAATTTTCGACGTGACCACGTGAAATTCGTTTAGCGAAATCGATGTTAATCGCATCGTTTGCGTTAAAAAACGCGATCAACACGTATAACAACGTACGCACTTTGCTAATGTGCGTTTCCCTCCAAAATGCTATTGTTAACACACATACATACATTAAACAAAATGGCGGCGGTCAGAATGCACTTTTACGAGACGCGCGTGAAACAACGCTGAACAACGCGGGGGATAGAAGCGACGCTTTCTCGCCGTCGTGTGCTCGATGTCGTTTCGCGTTTTACGTCCCAAATCGCGAGTCACACGTCAATAGCGTAATTTCGCGTATTTATCTGTCCGCCGCAACTTTTTGCGCTCGACCGTTGGTTCTTACCTGATTCTTGACCCTATTTAACAAGAACACCTTTCACAAGCCTCTTCGATTAGAGAAACCTTCTTGAAACCGCTTCCACGACTCCGAACAACCAAACAGCTCAAGGCGCACTGACAGACTGATCATCGAGACTGAGACCAACTGAGACTCGACGCGAGCGACAGAATCGTATGAGTCCTGTGTTAACAATAATGTACATAGATGGAACTTTATCGCACATGCGCGTTAGCTGTATATCGTGCCAGCAAGTATTGAGTATGTACGTAAAGCCCCTTGCACAATGGACGGAATAGCGATAGAAATAACACATCAATCAGTCGCTCGTGAAATAGTCAAAATTATTTAAACAAAAGGCCGATACGAGCAGTAAAATACAGGTTGGTCGTGTATAATAAGTTGTCTTTATTCAATAAATATAGACGTTTCGGTCACACAATTTTGGACCTTCTTCAGTATGAAAATTAAGTTTAATTAAGAAAAAATATTTTAGTACACTACATCACTAACAGATAGATGAAATAATGTTAATGACTTACAACGATATACTGATGTACACAGTATATCGTTGTAAGTCATTAACATTATTTCATCTATCTGTTAGTGATGTAGTGTACTAAAATATTTTTATTGAATAAAGACAACTTATTATACACGACCAACCTGTATTTTACTGCTCGTATCGGCCTTTTGTTTAAATAATTTAGAAATAACACAGTTTTTAACACAGAATTCCAACTCGTTGGAAATTTTATCGCTATTGCTTATTCCGATTTTCTGATCTGCATTGATACATGTGTAGTTTTGTATGTTAGATTCCGCTGTTCCTACCTTTATTTTTAAATATAAACTCTAAAACTTTTGTTATTTCTATCGCTATCGCTATTCCGTCCATTGTGCAAGAGGCTTAACGCGATGTGATGATGTGCGTAGCATACACATACGTATTACGTATGTGCATACAAAGAAATGTGCATTTGCCTCTCGTGTGTGTGTGTGTGTGTGTGTGTATGCGCGCGCGATTGGTATGATACATCTCTTAATTATTTCATTACATTATCCAAGAAATATCCTCAAGATATACCGAGTTTCTAGTATTCTGCAATCTCTCTTCTTCCGTTTTTATCTTGTCAAATCTTTTTATTAATGAAAGATAGAATGAATATGGATTATTTTATCGAAATAAACCAGAGATCAAAAATACTTATCAAATACTTTCAGTTGCTACTGAGCTTCTCGTGTAACATGATTTTGTAAATTGTACATCTTATTGCGAAGATAATAACATCAGCGTATCTAATATATTGATAAGGACCTAAAAAGAAGGTCGAAACGTTTATATATACTCACTCATGTTAAATAAAAAATCAACTTCTTACACATTTACACATCGACACCGGTGTTATGCTCTAACTGCCTTAACCACACTATTATCAAATACTTATATTTCCTTTTGCGTCATTTTTATAAAAGATCCAAGAGATGTCTTTTGTAAAAAAAATAAGTAAAATCTGAGGTGGTGACAAGAAGAAACTGATGATATAAAGAATCTGTCAATCTTTCTTTTATTTCGTCTATTTTTGTTATTTTACACGATAATAGAAGAATTTAAAATACAAATTGCAATGGGAATTTTTGTCACCTGTGACCGGTTTCAATGAGCAAAGATTCTACTAATACATTTAGATATCCGGAGACAAATGGTTGATGTCCCCACGCTGTAAGATTAAACAGTATCCAGGAATCTGTATGATTGTGTGCAACATTTGCAAGTATGTTGCGTTTCAATTCGGCTTCTTTGCGAAATGCTGTCCATAAAATTTCTGCTGTCTCACCTAAAGATGTTAAAGGTCATATACATTACATTCTGTGTATAAATAAGAAAACACAGAAATAAAAAAATTATATTTTTATGTCATGTAACATGGTATGTTGCTGCTTACAAAACTTGTTTGGTGACCAAGATATAAACAATTTGTCCGTAGCTCTTTCTAGGACTCTTATGGTGTTTAGCTGATTTTTAATTTGCTCTAAACGCAGAACTATGTTATCCTGTAAAATAGAACTTATTTATTTATACATACTTTCAATAAGAAAGTTGAAAAAGTAGTACAATTTAAGACTACATGTGTTAAAATTAATAATTATAAATCTGTGTATATAAATTATATAATGTATATTGTATAATTGTAAGAAATAAAATTTATGAAATAATAGATTTCTTCATCAAATACTTACTAAATTGTCACAAATTTTTTCCAACTTGTCACACAAATCTTGCAAATTCTCAGGATCTCTTTTGCATTTTTCTTGTGTAATATCTTTTATATAACCAAGTCCTTGATGATGAAAATTATGCCAATGTTGTACATTTGCATGAATATCTACAACTAGATCACTTACAACACGTAGAGAACCTGTCAAATTTTTTGACTGAATTGATTTAGGTGAAGATAACTCTGTAAGGAAATTTATATTTTAAAAATATATACAAGATTGAAATCTGCCTGTTAAAAAAATTCTTTTATAATATATAGTGCAGTATAATTCATAAAAAATTGTAAATGCTATGTTATAAGCTGAAATCTCTTTGTCTCTGTCTGCTTTGTCTATATCTCTATCTATCTATCTTTCTCTCTAATTGTGTGTGCGTGTGTGTGTGTATGTGTACACCAGTGACATTCATACACATGTGCAAACAATATGTACAAACTTACTAAGTGGAGAAAATTTTTCTCTTTTTATCATCATGTTACTGTGTTCCATAATTTTTTTTTCTCTCTTTCTTAAAATAACATGACTCGATATTGGTTTTTCTACTGGCTAGAGGACATTAGAAGAAGAATCCGGTTATACGTCACAAAAACATTTGTTCCCCAACCGCTCCCTGCATACGGGACGTTGGTAACGCGCTTGGCCAATCAACGTCTCGCTTTTCCAAGAATATATCTACGGGTGCTTTCCAACCACGTACACAGGCGACACTGTGTAACACAGTAATCCATTAGTGTGAGTGAGACACACCGATATGCTCTTTCTCGCACCAATGGACACAGTGTTACACAGTGTCGCCTGTGTCCTACGTAGTTGGAAAGCAACCCTATTGTATTTCAACGCCCGACGCGCGTTATCTTTCTGTCGTTGTGTGCGGGAGCCTTTAATTGTAAGTCTGCACCCTTTGGTGCGTTTCCTGCATCGCGAAGGTTTGAGTGGGTGGGACTCCGATTCCACGTTATTTGACTTGGTATTCCCGTCCAACTTGACTGACTTACGTACCGGGAACGTTTTCACAATAGAAAGTTCTATTGACGAAACGTTCTATTGCTCTACAATCACAAAAAAGGAAATTTTTCTTATTCTTCCCGCAGAAAACGCGCAACATATCAAGTGAAACTTGCGTACAATGCCGATCGAAACGAAATATCTTCGAGTGAAATAACCTCTCTCATACGTGTTTCCTGTATCATATTTCCGTTAATTTTTTTGTATTATTCGGTCGTATTCGATACGGCAACGTGCTTATTATTTTTTGTCTTAGTCCGAAAATTGAGCCAAAGTGACCAGTAGCTTTGTAAAGAGAAACCTTTTCATCCAACATGTCGGGCGAAAGTGTGAAATCGGTGAATATCAAACTTATGTTATTAATTATTATATTGATACGATATAAATTTACAACAATATTTACACTTATTTATTTCTCATTGCGCATGTGACTCATGCGATTTCAAAACATTTTATCAAATACGTAGATAAGAAACAAATTAAAAATGTATTGTAGATTAAAATTATATTTGTGTAGATAATTAGCGATTTTAACATTTAATTTGTTTTAGATAAGAACGTTACGTTTGTTTTCTTTCTTGTAGAGAAAAGTTTAGAATTAATATTAATTTTAGAAGTTTGTTTAGTTTTCTGACATGTACACAGATATATGTGAAAATTAAAAAGTATATATCTTTTAAAAGTATATTACTTTTTTTAGTTTAACAGTCTTGATACAGCTGGATATGTAGGATTTGCCAATTTGCCTAATCAAGTACATCGAAAGTCTGTGAAAAAAGGTTTTGAGTTCACATTGATGGTTGTTGGAGAATCTGGTCTTGGAAAGTCCACTTTAGTGAACAGTTTGTTCCTTACAGACTTATATCCTGAACGAATAATTCCCGATGCAGTTGGTAAGCAAGCAGTAGTAAATGATTTTATCAAAATTTACAATGATTGTGTTTTATGCAGTTAAGTTTTATATCATAAAGATAAATTTTTTATCTTTTTTTTTGTTATACAGAGAAAACCAATCAAACCGTCAAACTTGATGCTTCAACAGTAGAGATTGAAGAGAGAGGCGTCAAACTTAGATTGACAGTTGTAGATACGCCAGGTTATGGAGATGCAATTGATAACACGGACTGTTTCAGAGCTATTATTGAATATATAGATGATCAATTTGAAAGATTCCTTCGCGATGAAAGTGGCTTGAACAGAAGAAACATTGTGGATAACAGAATACATTGTTGCTTCTATTTTATCTCTCCATTTGGCCACGGGTATGAATATAAATCATGTTTTGATAAATTAAATTAATTTTATGAAAAGTTAACTTAAAAAAAAAAAAATTAAAAATAATCTTTTAGTAAAACTATGTAATATTGTGTGATTTTAAATTAACATTAACTAGATTGTTTATGTTTACTTTTCTTGAATAGCTTAAAACCATTGGATATCGAGTTCATGAAGCAATTGCATAATAAAGTCAACATAGTACCTGTAATAGCAAAAGCCGATGTACTTACCAAAAAAGAAGTTTTGCGCTTAAAGAAAAGAGTCATGGAAGAGATTGAAGGCAATGGAATCAAAATATATCCTTTACCAGACTGTGATAGCGACGAAGATGAGGATTATAAGGAACAAGTGCGTCAATTAAAAGAGGCTGTACCGTTTGCGGTGTGTGGTGCAAATACATTACTCGAAGTCAAGGGGAAGAAAGTGCGCGGCCGATTGTATCCTTGGGGTGTTGTCGAAGTGGAGAATCCCGATCATTGCGATTTTATCAAGTTAAGAACAATGTTGATGTATGTTTATCGCATTATTATTATATTTGTTTTATGATGATATGTTATATAAAAAAAAAAAAAATCACAATTACATTATTGTCTTCTTTTTAGTACTCATATGCAGGATTTACAAGAAGTAACGCAAGAAGTACATTATGAAAATTACCGTAGCGAAAGATTGGCGAAAGGAGCTTCGGTACCTCCACGTCGTCAAATGTAAGTCTAATGTCTGTGACTTCATGTAACCTGAAACATACACGATGGATTATCCTTTTTTTTTTTCTTTTCTTCACAGTCTTTCGGAATCGGATAAAAATACTACTGTATCGGAGAAAGATCGCATTTTGCAAGAAAAGGAAGCAGAAATACGACATATGCAGGAATTGCTGGCTGTGATGCAAGCACAGATGCAACAACAGCAGCCTTGATCACCTATGCATTTTTATACCGACGTATGAAGAAGGATGATTCCTCGCTGTTACGAGTGCCAAAAAAAGAGTAACTTTTCTTTTTTTTTTTGTTTTTTTTTTTATTTAATAGCCTTCGACTCGAGATCTTGATTCAGACAAACTAGGTTTTTTTTGGACTTGTCTTTATCAGGATCTTGTCATATTATGCATTTTATAGTCATGTTTCACAACAATATGAATAATACTAACGGAAACCAACGTTGCGCTCGCGCGTCTTAAGTCATTAGTATTTCAACATGCAAGTATTCTTCGATATTTTTCTGTTAGTCATTTTAGGAACACGAGTCTGCAAACACGAATAATTAATGCAACTGACTTACTATTTTATCGGCAATAAACAAACATTTTTATGAAAAACAGTTGCATGAATTATTCTTGTTTTCTTAATTTTCATGTATTTTCTAATTCCGAATGACTGATATTTTTAAAAAATATTAACGTATTTCACACAAGTCTTAGAAAAAATATCAAAATAAAGGAAAATAAAAAATACAATTATACAATTACATATACATATTATGTATATATAAAATTGTGATGCAATATTAAACAAATGTTCTAAATTTATGAGTAAAGAAGGCACACAAATAATTAATCTCTGTTTTGTTTATTAAAGGACACTCATATTTATCACTATTTTTTAAATATTGCAAATTTATAACAAATTTTAAATTAAGATTATAAGATTATTAAAAAAAAAGTAAATATCAGAATCATATGTCGAAACTTCTTTTTATAAAATTCAGATTTTAACTGTGCAAATGTAATTTCTCATATCAAAGGAAAAAATATACCAAATATTTTATACAATAAGCTTATGATACAAAAAAAAAAAAAGAGCTCTTATTTCAGATCAAACGAAAAGATGTAATAGAATAAAACCAAGAAGAGTAAAAAAAGAAATAATCCGCGGAAAGTGCCTTGCAATCTATATACGTCTATAACATGTATAAATATTATGTATACATATAAGAAATGAAAAAAATAACCGTTTTTTAGCATAGTATTAATATGCGAACACTTTGCGAATATATAGTTTGTTATAGACATTTTAATTAAATAGTTAAGGCTTCTGTCGGGCGAATCTATATAATTGCTAACGACAAATGTTGCTATCGTTAAACCTCCGACAACGAACTCAGGGTTATGTTGTTTCCAAAAAAGTTTTTATTTTCTAAACGTGTCTGACTGACTGAACCGTCAAAAACTGATCCTGAGGTTCGCTGGCGCAGGATTAATATGTCGTTTTGCATTTATTTTGTGATACTTTGTCTACGCAACGATACACACACGAACAATTTCGCTCCTGACGTCAACCAAAACACCGATTTTTTTCCTCGCTTTGCTGTTGAAAAAAAAAAAAAAAAACGAAAATCCAGGAGTCTCACGAGAGGAAATTATCGCTTCCATATGAGCAATATGTTTGTAAGTGCAGATAAAGGTTTTTTAAAGAATCTCATGTAATAAGTTTTAATTCGAGACAAAAGTTTTAGAGACTGTTGATACAACTCACTCAATAGGAGGAACTTATAGTTAAATGTTTTTATTGAAAAGCGTTTGTACTCTTTTTATACTTGATTATTCTTCAAATAATATAACTATATAAAGGAGTCTAAAAGAAGAGAGAGAGAGAGAGATAAGTACAAAAATACGAAACTACATTTTTGAAGAAAGCAGTCCAAAGTTTATGATTAGATTACATTTGTATACTTGATTTTCTTTGCTTTGTAGTTTCGTAATTTGTGACTTGTTTTAGACTCTTCTGTGTAAGTCCGTGAAATATATGTAATAAATAGGTAAAGTATTTCTATAGATATTCGTAAATAAATGATCGATGTACCGCGATAGAAATAGTCGTGGATATTATCGCAACCGTCTTGAATTACGACGTTATTATGGTACGTGCCGTCTAAAACCAAAAATTGGTTCTTCCGCAATGTCATCCCACGTTATGATCCGATTGTTGTTTTCAAGCATTCACGTTAAAGGTAAAAAAACTTTAGTGTAACAAAAATTAGATGGCTTTAAAACGCGTATATTTTTCAATCGCTTCTGACGTCATACTTCAAGATGGCAGCGAGTAGATAGGATCCTTTCAAGATGAATGCGACTGAAGACTTTATAACTTTCTATGTGTATTTCACGTGACAAGAGTGTTTTCCTGCGAATTGCTTTTATATAATCTGAAAAAAAAAAAAAAAAAAAAAAACTACGTGAAAGACGACTATACACAGATTTATAATAATTATATAAGAAAAATGTTTTTATATACTTACAATTTTTGAGACTAAATATTGATATCTTAGGCTTAGACAGTATATATATATATAGCAATATTAAAAAAATATATATTTTATGCTTCTGTGACAGGAATAGTTCTGTGAGCAGTTTTTACATGTAAAACACATTTCTCCAGGTTTTTATACGAAGTTGTACACACAGATTGCACCAATTTTTTTGCGTAAATTTTTATATTACACTTTTATACAAATATATTTTCCAACAAGTTTATATAACTTATATGATTCAAGATTTATGCATGTAATAATCTATCGCCGTGGAGAATGCTGCAAAGCCCGCAGCGCCGACTATTCCCGCTTTAATTCCGGCTGCAAAGAATAATGTAAAAAATTTGAAAACAGTAGCACACACGAACACTCCTAATTTGTAAAAAACCGTGCAATATCCAATGAAAATTTATTTTTACCTCTTAAGCCAATTAAACCACCTGTTACGCCTCCAGCATATGTGCCATTTTTCCAGTCTGTTTTACCTCTGTACTAAAATTAAGATAAACTTTTGCAAATCTTTTCCATATATACTCTAAGAAGCTTATATATGAAACGTATATATGAAGAAATAATAAATCACAGTTTTGTGAAAATAAACACTTCAGTATCTGTTTGGCTATTCTCTATATAGTATACCGATTCTATTGTGCATTCGATGGCGGAAAATATACATCCGACGACTGCAAAGTTTTTGGCATAACTGAGTGTCGTGGTCTTCATCTCTCTGAATATTTCTCGCGTGGTTTGTTGCTTTTCAACGCTGGCTATGTTAGGATTCACACTAGAAGAAAATAGACCAATAGCTGCTCCCAAACCATATCCTGAAATATTTCATAATTAGTTTTATGTAAGAGTTTAATTAAAAACTTTGTGCATTGAGATACAAAATCAAACTGAAAAGGATTAAAAAAAAAAAAAATTGGTCAGAGTATATACGTACCAATAACACAACTCATGATGCTCTTAAATGCGCAACTTTCCATCACACTTTCTACCCTTTTTTCTTCAATACTTTTTATCTGTACAGGCCCCAACATTCTGGGAATTATGATATTTTCTCTAAAGCGTTGGAGATTTCCAACAAAGTGTATAGCAATCTTGTCTAATTCGGCATCGTTCAAAAACACTCTCTTATCCTCATCGTCAGGTGACGGTGCGGCCGTTTTCGTCAAATCAATAGGAAACATTTTAAATCTTGTAAAAAAAAACTCGAGTAAAAATATTTTCTGTATTTTTACATCATAACGAGAATCAAATATCTTGCTCTTCACGTGTGATGTTTTAAAGTCCGGCAGCAGTGAGACTAACAAACTCCGAGTTGATATGAGAGAGAAAAAGATAGCACAGTTATCTTTCCTTGTCGCACCTTCAGCAATCGGCTGCACTTTAGATACATACGCTCATATCGTTCAAATTTTCTGACTTGGAAAATTAATGTTTCTTCAAGAGCCTTATTTTATCTCATTCCTCGCACAATACTTGTTCGCAATGCGGACGAAGTTTGCAATTTGGCTCTTAAATATTAAAAAAAAATAAAGAAATTTACAGTGTATTTTAACCTTTGACTAATATACACTAATATAAACATGGACTGCTAGTCGGGAGATCTGGCCGTAGACAACATTGAACAGCGCACTCTCAGTTTGGGCCAATAACTAACAGGTCGTGACGTCACGTCACGCGTTACGTGTCTTCCAGTTTTTACGTGTTTATGAAGATAATACGCACTACTAAAGTACGCACTTCGCAAAATGCAATTACAAAAATCAGTGATCTCAAAAAAAAATACAACATGGTGTGTTATTGTTTTATAGAAGGCTGCAGAAGTATACAAAATATAAACGACAACGCGAGGAAAATGATACCAGCTTGAATTTTTTTTTGTAGCTCAATTCTTTACTATTTTAAACTGATTTTATCATTTATATTAATCTCATACGTATTTGTGTATTATAAATTGTCTGATTTCCAAGCGATCAATTTGTACTCAAAGAGCAGTGGATTGAGGCAATTGCCACTTTAAACCTGCAAGAAAGTGCAAGAAATGTTTCTAAAAATAGCCGTATCTGTGAATTACATTTACACAATAATTTATTGAAACAATTTGGATGTACTAAACTCCGACTAAAGCGAAATGTTGTACCTAGCATATTTCCTCGAAATAGAAGAGAAAGGTAATTAATGTTATAAGAACGTAATTAAAATATAACAATTAATCTTTACATGTAGATTTAATTATATTTAATTATATGAATTTACAGTGTTATGAAAAAAGAAACTTCTTTGCAAAAAATTATAATTATTAATTCAACGAAGAAATAAATTCAAGCTTTCTTTTTCCGCAAAAGTCGAGGATTTCTACGATATCTCAGAAAAGATTCGTATAAAGTTAGTATTTGCGTAGAAAAACTTTTTAATTTTTACAAAAATCAATAACAATTTGAATCTAAAAACTTGTTACCAAAAAATAATGAATGATACGTTTAGAAATTTAAATATGCATACTTTGTTTTCACATTTTGAAGATCCATGTTAAAGAATTAGATATGTTAGAAAATCACAAATATGAATTAATAAAGTTATTTATATCGTTATATTTAGACAAAAATGTCACATTTAGCAAAAACACTTACGTTTAAGGCTCACGATACTTTTGTCAGACACAAATAAAAAATTAACAATATTAGAAGGTCAATAATTTGTGAAAAAAACTTTTTTTAAAACAATGTTATCAGTAAGTATATTACAAATGTTAATATATGTTAAATATATATTCAATGTGTGTGTGTGTGTTAATATATGTTAATATATGTCAATTTCTATTTACATTACATTAAATTTATTTTTATAAGTAATTGTTTCTAATTTACATCTTTGACTTTACTTCCTCGAACCATATTTGAATTTCCCGCTTTTTGGCCCAAAGGCGGTGCCATATTTCTTGTAGGGCCTTCTACAATTAGATATTAGTAATAAATCAGAAGTCAGAAGCAAGAAATTGACCAATCACAATCAAATCACAGAAGAATAATCGATTGTGATCAGTCAATTTCTTGCTTCTGACTTCTGATTTATTACCAATATCTTATTGTAGAAGGCCCTTGTTATCTACGCTGCTTATGCATTGCTTAAATGGGAAAAGTGGGGGCAACTGGCAGAGTCCGTGTTTATATAGATTTCAACCGAGATGTGTGCAGATTAAAAGTCTTCAAATTCTACCAGATGTCTCTGCTCGACTTTTGCCGAACGCGGACCCACCTTTTCTCTTTTTAACTTTGAGGAACTGTATATATAGTAAAAACCGGCATTCATCTGTCATGTCCGGTTACGTCTCCGTTTCTTGCCGTTATCGTCAATAGCGTATCGTCACTCAAGTATTGAACACTTTGCTATTTTCCTTTATTTTTTTTGCTGAATATCTATATCTTTTATATGCAAAAATATTGCCAATAAGAAAAATGGGCCAACGTGTCTCGAGAACGGATTTCGAGTGGGTTTATACGGAAGAACCTCACGCCTCCCGACGCAAGATAATTTTAGGTATGAGTACTTGCGTGACAATTTGTTAAGAGAGATAAAGTGATCGCACGTAACATTTAAAGACAATATATAACATTTATTTATTAAGAATTAGTTTTAAAATTTTAATATATATTTTTTTTTAATGTTCTTTTACAAAGCTAGTAAAGCTTGATAAAATTCCTAAATTGTATTTCTTTTTAAATAAAAGGAAGAGAGGAGAGATAACACAAGTTATATTTATTTTTTATCTATTCTTAGATAAAGATACTTGGGAAAGTACCGCAATAAAGTAATGTTATCTCTTCTAAGAAAAAAATAGAGGAGAAAAGAAAAAAAATCTGTGATTTATATGACTCATAAAGAATCATTGTTATAAACATTTATTTTTCATATGTTTGTGTTATTTAATGTCAGAACTTGAATTTGTACTATATTTCACTTGCAAGACTATTGACGCTATTTATATAATATTCTGTTTCTGTTTCAGAAAAATATCCACAAATTAAAAAATTATTTGGATATGATCCAAATTTCAAATGGATTGTCACTGGAATGGTGTTAATACAGATTCTGTCGTTGTTCATTGTCAAAGATTTAAGTTATCCAAAACTCTTATTGTTGGCATATTGTTTTGGAGGTGTGATAAATCATTCTCTTATGCTTGGTATGTGTTTTGTATATATTTTATCAACATAACAAAATAAAATTTTATATCACATGTAGGCTAACATATATAATCTTACATTTGTACTGTATTGTACAATATTGACTATAATTTACAGCAATACATGAAATATCTCATAATCTTGCTTTTGGACATGCTAGGCCTATGGCTAATAGACTTTTTGGATTTTTTGCAAACTTGCCAATAGGAATACCAGTGTCTATTAGTTTCAAAAAATATCACTTGGAGCACCATCGTGTGAGTATTACAGAAGCTTCAATAAGAATATTTTATTCAGCTTGAGAATTATCTGATAACATGTATGTTCTTAATTTGAAAATTTTATTTGCTCATTTAGTATCAAGGAGATGAAAAATTAGATACTGATTTGCCAACCTTATTGGAAGCAAAGCTATTTAATACGACATTTGGAAAGTTCTGTTGGATATTTTTGCAACCGTTCTTCTATGCATTCCGACCTCTCATAACATATCCAAAAGTACCAACTACTTTGGAATATGTAAATTTAATTATACAAGTCATATTTGATGCTTGTTTGTGGTACTTCTTTGGTAAGTAGTTTGAAGAAAAAATTTTAAAATATATTATTAATATAAGTAATTAATCTACATATATAAAACATATTTACATATATAAAGCAATAAAGTATTAATACAAAAATAAAATAACTTTTTAGGTGGTAAAGTGCTGTTTTATTTGCTTATTGGTTCATTTATGGCAATGGGGTTACATCCTGTGGCAGGGCACTTTATATCAGAGCATTATATGTATAAAAAAGGCCATGAGACATACAGTTATTATGGTTGTTTGAATATGATTACTTTCAATGTTGGATACCACAACGAACATCATGATTTTCCTGCAGTACCTGGTTCAAGATTACCAGAAGTTTGTACTAAAAAAACTTACTTAGATCATTAACAATTATTATAAACATTTGATGTAATATTTAATGATTTTATTATTTGATGTAGGTAAAACGTATAGCTGCAGAATTTTATGACAATTTGCCACAGCACAATTCATGGATTTCTGTTCTGTACGATTTTGTGATGGATCCTGATATTGGACCTTATGCAAGAATGAAAAGAAAACATCTAGGATTGGATCAATAACAAAATTTAGAATGTTTATTTTTCTAAGTCTATCAAAAAAGTATATATATATATATTTATATATATTTATATATATATATATATATAAAAGAGATATATATTTCTAAAATCTCTATTTAGTTCCGTTTCTATGCAAAATGCTTCGTCTAATAATTCCGTAGGATTGTATCTATGTGATCAGATACAATCGCAGAGATTGCTACATTCTTTGAAATAGAACATAAATGTCATGCTGAAAAAAGCATGATAAGTTTACAAACATATATTTCTTTTAATGAAATACAAATTTACGTGATATTTAGAGAGAATGAGATATATGTTTTTCTCAAATTTGCAAATTTTTCATATTTCACATAAAAGTTTTTACTTTTTTTAAGTCTAGTCATATATTACAGCAGTTCTGAATTCGTAATTATCTAGAAATGAATTATCATTGATTGTTTTAGTATGTTAATTTTCAACAAAATTGGATTTCAAGTTTAATTAATCATAAAAATTTAGTCGATCTCGATGAAATCGATCGTGGATCTCTCTGATTGACATAAATCAATTTTACATAGAACTCATTATATTTGTACTAAGCAAGGTAGACCTGTGATTTGTACTCAATATGTATATACTTTTATATGTGCTTGCGTGTATGTATAAATGGTCTTTGATATAAAAAAAAATAACATTGCCATCAAACACTCAGATCTTGTTGATTAGAGATCTTGTTTGTTTTGCACATAATACAACATTGTATATATTATTTTAATTAAATGTAACTTAATATGACACACAAAACTATGTTTATATATTTTGAGAAAAATGTGTATACACATATATATATATATATTTTAAATGTCAAAAAATATAAAATGTATATAAAACTTATACTCGTCGAAACTATTACTACATGTTATTGATTTAATTTAATATGTATTATTTCTTAATATCGTTTTATATTTTATGATTCTTTTTCTGCGCTTGGTAGTAGTTTCAGAGTCATCCTACAGAGGCTCCATATGTAAGATTTACTCTACTAGTACTGAAAATCTATAGCTCACGTCACTTATATTATAGATCCTCAATATTTATACTGAGAAATATTAGTTTCTTTACACCTGTTTACACTTTACACTATCTATTCATCATCAGTCAGTCACTAATACATCAGTCTGTAGAGTTCAATGGCACGGCACGCACAGATTGCTGCTGCTAATGATTAACTTCAACTATGTATGTAAAATGTTACAATATGTCATACAACTTGTACGGTAAACAAAGTGACGAGAAAGTATAAAATGTACACGTTACTCCATGGTTTATACAAGTACTTGGTGCAGAAAGACGAATATTTCATATTAATCCTAGGACTTGACAATGCAGGAAAGACGGTAAGATTCTGCAGACGGATTTAAGGTTAGAACCTTTCAAAATCCATCTCCAAAAAAAAAAGGTTAAAACCTTTCAAAATCTTATCAAAAATCACGGTTATTGCTCACACATCTGTATTTGTTCACAGACTTACTTGGAAGCAGCAAAAACAAAATTCACAAAAAATTATAAGGGAATGAATCCAAGCAAAATCACGACTACTGTAGGTTTGAATATTGGCAAGATCGATATTGCTGGTGTTTCTTTCAACTTTTGGGATCTTGGTGGCCAAGAGGAGCTTCAGTCTTTATGGGATAAAGTAATTGAAATGACAACGAAATATATGTAATATGTATGTATGCACATATGTAAACAAATACATTGTTTTATGTTTACAGTATTATGCTGAATCTCATGCTGTGATTTATATTGTTGATTCGTCTGATCGTGATAGAATTCCAGACTCCAAAGAAACTTTTGGTAAAATTTATATATCTTGGAATGATATCTTTGATAGTAAACAATGTAATATAAAGCATATCTCTCTCTTTTGAGATTTAGATAGACATTTGGATCTATTAATATAATTGCATTTATAATATAAGTGTCCACAGAAACTGTAAATGATTAGGAATACATGTTAAACACATAACATATATATATATTTCAGATAAAGTAATATCGTCTGAGCATCTAAGAGGTGTACCATTATTGGTTTTAGCGAATAAGCAGGATGTACCTGATTGTATGGGTGTCAGAGAAGTAAAACCAATATTTAATCAAAGTGCACATTTAATCGGTAGAAGAGATTGCATGGTAATGCCTGTATCAGCTCTCAATGGGTAAGCAGATCAAGTTTTGTTCTATTAATTATATATTATATAAACATTTGAAAAACAACAGAAAACATTTGTTATATTTAAAATATGTCTCAAATTATTAATATCTTTTATATTCTACACAAGTACTTGTTATTAATTATTTTTTTTTTTATTTTGTAAAAAGGGATGGTGTAGATGAAGGTATACACTGGTTGGTAGATTGTGTCAAAAGAAACAGTGATGTACGACCGCCTCGCAATCAAGACGATAATTCCTTATCTTAGTTGCAAAGCATTTTTATTTTACAATAATTTATTACAATTTATATGTAGCGTTTTTTGCAAATAAAATTGTATTGTTTACACACATGTATGCATGTTATATATATGTTTAGATATTTAAAAAATACAATTTATAATTTTTCATTAAAATTTGTAGCGAGAAATGTTCTGCGAACTTTCTGTCCGATAGCCAATTCAAACGCGAATTTGTTGCGCTTTTCGCTTTGATTTAAATTTTATGATTTATTTAATTCTCATTTAATTTCCATAACGCGACACAAGAGGAAGAGAGCGCCGTGTAATTTTATTATTATAGTACAAGATACGATAACGATCTCATTGCCATTCTGTCGCCAATGATTCGTCAAGTTATTTTCTGTAGCCAACGCGCGATGATCCCTTCTCCCCATTCTGATACACTGATGAAGTACATGCGCGTTTGTGCAACATATCGTCATCTCAAATTGCGATCAATAGATATGCGTCGAGACGACGCCAAAATATGCGCCCTTTATCCTCACATACTATACTGTTGCCGATGTTCGATGAGATTACTCCAGAATCTGGGTCTTTCTCACGCGGCACGATCGGCGATATCGTCAAAATTCCTTACTCCGCAATTTTCCTTTCTGATGTAAAGTGCAAATCTTGTTCACCACTTTACGTCACACTAACATCGTGCTTAAAATCTGCCCATTTAATCAAGTAGATTTTAAGTCTTTTAAAAAAAAGCATCTTTTTCAAATAAACATTTATCTAAGTGTTTACATAATTTCTCTCTTTGTGATACATATCTTTTATATCAATTTAACAATTATTTTAGCTAGTCGAAACACAATGTTCTTTGAAAGAAAGAACATTATTCTCCCGAAGACAGAAAAACTAAAAGAAAAAAAAAAAAGATTGACATCGTTAACATGATTAATGAAACTTGTCTATAAAAGTTGATGTTGATAACTAGATTTTTTTTTCATCAGTCTTCTCGTACACTTCATCGACCGAAATTTTGTCTTTTTTCGGGAAAGGACATTTATAATGTGACCTAATAAATAAATTATTTTAAAATTATTATCTTTATATAAAACAAACGAAATGTGAGAAACAAAAATTGTATTTGATTGTTTTATTCTCTATGTTTATTGCGTCGGTGAAATTTTGAAGAAAAGCAAGGACACGCGACGAGACGGCGCCAAACAAGCAGATCAGCAGCCTCCACCGACGCCAACGCCATTGCCGATGACGGCGACGCTAACGCCGACGCCGATGCCGACGCCGACGCCGAGAGTCCGACCACCCCCTTTTCCACAGTTAGGCCGTCAAAGTCGCGAGAGATGCTTCAGTATGGCGTCGGCGAAGTAGTGATCGCGATACGTTTCTCGGGGAACGAACGAAATCCACACCCACATGTTTTCGTCGTGACGCGCGCGGGATATGCACAGCTATTCAAAATATTTTCTATTCGTTTTGCAATTTCGACTCGATCTGGAAGAATTACGCGTGACTTCCGATTTAAGTAATATATGCGTTGTAGATGATGATCTTTTATGTGTAAAATTCGCGCTCTAACGAGAGTATATGTGGTGACACGATCCGCGGTCATGTGGCAAAACATGTATATACAAAGTGCGAGCATAGCATTTACGGATAATCTTCGAAGTGGCCATCTAAAGAAACGATAATTGCGCGTGTCGAATGATGGAGAACGCACGAGAAAGAAAAATTAATACATTGTTGTATAACACATGAGCGCAATCAGGTATGTTTCGTACGTAATTTTCAAGTTTTATGAAGTAACATGGTTGAGATGAAATTTATATTTTAATTTTGCTTATACGGAAAAACAAAATCTAAAATCAAACACACACGTTTATGCGATAATTTAATCTAGTTTTTATTTAATTCATTTTTCACTTCTTTTTGTTTGTTGTTTTTTTTTTTTTTTTTTTTTGTAGAAGTCCGACTGCTGGAACACTAAGGTCACAAAATGTTCGCGCATTAATGTCAGCGTAATAATACGATAGAAATCGCGATGCTGAACAATTTTCAGAATTTTTTATATTTTATTTTTCACAATTTCTATTCGATCTCTCTCAGATTTATTTTAATACAAATTAGAAGAAATTCTTGCAAAAGATGAGTACGTAAGTCTATCTTACGTAAGTTTTCAGAAGTTTTCATTTATGTAAATTTTGAAATATATTTCCCTCGCTCTCTCTCATTTTTCTATTTTCATAAAAAAGTCTTAAAGTTTTAACCAAGTTTTTTATTTTGTTTCAGAAGTTTTTCTATATTCGAGAATTATAAAAATAATTCGAGAATTATATAAAAATCTCTTACAAGTTTCTGAAGAGAACAAGTTTTTCTGAGAATGTATTCGCGACAGCGCCGATTGTCGGAAATTTATTAAATAATTTTGTTTCTATTTTATTTGTCTCGACAAATAAGTTTTTATTTCGAAGAAAATGAGATTACATAGAACGGATGCGAATGATGGTTTTTAAAACGATATTTTCGAAGAACGTGAAATTATTACATGGTAAAGGACTTTTTGCACCGCTGCTATTCCCAACCGTCATGCTAGAATGCATTTATTTGTTAAACGCCGTAACATATAGGAAGCTTTTTATAGAATATCGCGTGTAATCGAAGACATAAAATTGTATAAGCAATATATAAGCATTCTATTAACCTTATATATACATATATATATACCGAACGCGCGTACATACTTACTTAATACGCGTGAAACATATGTGGCAATATTAATTCTTCGCGAACAGACCTCAAAAATAATCTACGACTCGGACAGACTGGGTCTGTGAGATCCACGCGACTTTTAAATCGAATATCTCCGCGAAAAACCAATATTTTTTCAATTTTGTTTTTTTTTTTTTTTTTTGACTCGAAAGTTTGAACGATTTTTCTACGTCGATAAAAAGATCAAATTGAAACATCTCTAGTAGTTTTGAGAATATCAACGTTAAAAAAAAAAAATTAATTTTTACTAGAAACGCCGATGTGCAATTTTTGAGTGGGTCTAGGAGACCCGTGTTTGTCCGCGAAGAGTTAATTTTTTTTCTATCTAAAATTTTATCTAAACTATCTAAACAATCTGATTGCCTAAAGGAAACTCTCTCTCTCGCTCTTCGATGGAAAAGTGAATGAGAAGAGCGGAGGATGACAACAAAATAAGAATTTCGTCTCTAACGGCTGTGCGACAATTATTCTTTGAAGACCAAGCATTGGGGTGTCACGACTATGATGAATCGGGAAAACGAAGAAGTACAAATATAATCCTTTGTTATGCATTAACCCTATAAGCACACAATATTCTTAGAATATTCTAGAATATTCTGTGAATATTAATAGTACGTTTAATATTCTAAAAATGTGTTCAGAATATTACTTGATATGAAATAATACATTATGCGCTTATAGGGAATTATCAACATTTATCTTTGGCGCTCGATTTAAGAATTTTCGCTTTTGCAACTGATACGATCCGTTAATCTTTCATTCCAGCAACGACCGATCTCACAGACGCTGTGCGGCGCGTTGCAAAAAGAGCCGAATTGCAAATGCTTGGTTCTGACCGTACTTATATACGGCTGTCTCGCTGCAGTAACGTGGTGTAGATGCGCTAATGTTACCAAGGTACATCGAGTGTCTCATTATGTCTTCATCTATCATTCAGGACTCGGTCGGACGTTTTTTTTGGACTCACTCGCTTTGTTTCTCAATATTTGCGCATAGAATTTTTTAAGACAACGAAGTTCGTTATTCTGCGATGCAAAAATATCGAGAGATAAAACTGTAGCATGTTGTGAAGAAGAAATGTATGTTTATATTCAACAGATTAACAATAAGTAAACAATACGATACAAATAACAATGTCGTACACAAAAAAAATATCTGTAGACTCAGAAATTGATTTGGACACAATATAGAGTGAATCGATATACCGCCCTACCTTTACGGGAGAGAAACGTTATATTTCTTTCTTTACGTTTTCTCGAATCTTGCGAACAAAATACCCCCCCTTGTTCTTTCTTCTCAGATTATGGTCAACTATACCAAGTTTCCCATCAGAAGTACGAAGCATGTGTCGTCGCCTTGCGACGATGGCTACATATATATTCCGGTATGTACACACAACGGGACAGAAACGGTCAGAAACAGGGCAAACAGTTCTCTCAATTTTTTTTTTTTTTGTCAATTCCACTCGGAATATGTACACGTGTCTTTTTCGATGTCACTTCTGGATACTCGTTTCTGTTGAATTTTTTATGACATCAGAAGCGAACAGAAGGGACGTCGCGCGTTCGATGTTTCCGTAACAAAAATATCAAAACACATCATCAATATTTGAATCAAAGTTCTTCTACATGTTATGTATATACAAGCCGATACATTTTGTTCAACACCAATATTGGCGGTGTCACGAGAACTTCGATTATATCAGTGTCTTAAATCGAGGCATAATTTAATCTTAAAAGGTTTTTTTTTTCACGTTGCAATTATTCAAAATTAAATTGTTAATTTTGTGCAAAACTCGAGTAATTGGACAAAATATTAATTGATTTATCTTCATCTTTATTCTCGATTCTATTCTGCTTTTTCATCGTTCGCTCTCATCTTTTTGTCTCGCACACAGGTGGCATTCATGGGAATGCTTTATCTGGTTTATCTGGTAGAATGTTATCACTCGCCGATCAGAATCGATCTATTGCACGCGGAGAGTCAGGACAGCGTGCTGTCCAAATTGGCCCAGCTGAAAATGGCACAGCCGAGGATATGGTGGAAAGCCGTTTCCTATCACTACGTGCGCAGGAAACGACAGATCACGCGTTACAGAAACGGAGATAATTATACTACAACGCAGGTGACACACATTTGCGATCTTATCAGATACGCGGCAGATACGTGTGTGTTAATGATTTTTAATGTGGAAAAAATAACTACACAGGATAATTAGAAAGTGCTATCGCGACGATTTCGATTTTTATTCCAACGTTTCCTTGATGGATTTTCCTTCCCGACGCGTGTTCGCAAGTCTTCGAAATACGCGTTCTGTTTAAGTTTTATATATACGTGAGGACATATGTCGCAGTTACGGAAAGGATCGGAAACTGATGATGATTTTGTCATTTCACTCGCTTTGCAGGTATATTACGAAAGAGTGAATACACATTCGGCCACGTCGCACTATTATTACGAATATTGCGGAGTGAAGGACATCAGCAAGGAATTAATACTCGAGTCGAAGATACCGATCACAAAGATTCTGCTCACCAAAGGTTTTGCGTTCTCCAACGTACGATCCGCCACGGAATTCGAAGAGGCTCGATCGCGATTCTTCGCCGAACAGGTAACACAGAAAAACACACACGCACGTACGTGATCATGCGTGCTAAGCGACGAAAGTCGGAATATATTGGAAGTAATTTTTATTTTTGTAAGAAAATACATAAGATAGAAAACGATGATATTCTTTTTTTTTTTTTTTTCAGGAACTCAGTGACGATTACATGGAGATGAGAGAAGGTCTCGATCTTGGCTACAACGTTAACAAAATGTTGGTCGCGGTTTTCGGTAATCCCTGGTTCACGAACTCCTATGTTTACTGGTGTTTAAGCGCTTTGCTGCTTAGCTGGCCGCTGAGAGTGATGATAGAGTACAACACGCAATACGTCGAGTATCAGGTAAAATCTGCGAGCAGAGATCGAGAGACACTGATTTCCATTCGCAAGACGCTTCGAAATCGAAAACTGTTCTATCTTTGGAAAAAAAAATTTTTTGATTTAAATCGCATTTGGTTTTAAAAAGAAATATTTCATTATGTTAAAATTCTTAGGATATTGTCAATTCTAATTCTACGCATTGCTCCGTACAACAAATGTATTTAAATTTCCCCGATTTGACGCGAGCCATAAATTTATTAGAGTGAAACACACTCACATTATATCGTCATACCTGACTGTAGTATTCTACATTCATCGATTTTCCGTGGACGATAGAACACTCGTGGTTCTCAGGTGACGATGTGTAGGGAAAGCTGATGTATCTTGGATACGTATTCAGACTTACGTCACTTCCTACGTAATGTCTGCCGAGCTTGTTTACCCGCCTCCGGGCAATCGAGATTAGCTTTTTCTTTATTTTTTTATCAGAATAAAAACTTAAAATGTCAAAATAGGTCAGAGATACTCACACTACGCTACACGCGCGCGCGCGCGCGCGCACACACACACACACACATATATACGTAAACACATACACACGTAACAGTTTCTCTCTGTATTCTTGAAAATAAATAGAGATCACACAATATTAAACTTTTCTATCAGGTTACTAAGCTCTTTGGTGTGAATTACGATACACCTATCTCCAGCGAACCCATACACGCGTCCATGAGCCAATTGAGTCAACCGGGATCTTACATGCTGGCGCCCAGTTACAGCGAGGCATTACTGATGGATCCGGTGACATCTTGTAACGACGAAACTGAACGAAATTGGCAGACTCAGGGGGAGGCTGACATCGCGACCAATATAATTCCCAGCTATTCCGAAGCACTTCTCTACGAACGTGCCAAACAGTTTGATCATCGAAACATGATGGTGAACAGTGCTGTCGGAAGCGCAAACGACGCGATAACTATTACCTGCAACGACAATCCGAATAGACAAATTTTGCCACTGATACCATGCGAGTGTCACTGTCCTTGCCCGTGTCACGAGAACACAAATTGTTACAAAATAAAGATAAATAATGATCACAATTACATCGAAAATGCGACTGGCACCGATCACGTCGACGTTCGAACGCGAACGAATAACACGCGCGAGGTCAGTGATGTTTTCGAAAATGAGCTTGCGACACTAAGAACGACCGCTGACGGTCGATTGCGTCCACCCGAGATTGTGAATCCCTGTTCCATGAACGATCTCCGGACAGAAGCGTCTCCGAGTAGGTGTGGCAGTTGCGGCAGAATGTCCACCAGCACGCAGACAATTAACTCGGACGCAATTTCCCGCGCTTCTGTAAGAAACAGACCCAGCGAGTCCTCGCAAACCTTGTCCAAAGACTTCGCACTGGGTGCGATATCCAAAAAGGAAGTTATGCCTCGCGACATTTCGGAGCCGAATTTGAAAACGCGAACGGAATCGATGAACGCCTTTCTCCCGAAAGAGAATGTAAGAAGCTTGGAAAATATTTTGGAAAACGAAAAAAAACCGACAAGAAGCAACCGAGTTGACGTGACCGTTGCGGAGGTAAGTGCTTCGCGAGTGAACAACACTACCGAGCAACAACAGAAGAGATTGCCGACCAACCTGCCTCCCGTTGTCCATCGACGTTCTCCCTTCACCGACGAGGCGAGTCATTCGACCAAGAATACGAGCAAAGGCGCCATTCCGAAAACCGAGCTACGTAACAACCGGATCACGGTGAATCCCATGTCAAACGAGGCTTGTTGGAAACTGCCCAATTCGAAGACGTATCTGTGCCTCAAGTCTATGCTCAAGCAGAACAAACGGAGATACACGCTGGTGACCGCGGATGAATTTCAGAATCTTACAGATCAAGACGCCTACCGAGGTTTCGAACGCGGTTTAGATACAAGTATCAAGAGTGATTGGAATACGCAACTGGACAATCGTTCGCGCTTCGCGGAGAGATTGAATTCCAGAAGGAGACTGCCGTCATTTGAGGAATTCGTGTCGGCGAGAGACAAAATGATGCATGCCAATGATCACAGGAGGTAAGTCCTTAATTGTCGTTAGTTGGCACACAGTTTTACTATGCACTACTGGATTGTAACTATCAGCGCAATCTCTTTTCGTGCATATTTCTTATATTCTTTGCAATAATTGTAAATATTGATTTTCTGCTTAATTAATATACGTTCTGTTTCTGCTTACTTGCAACATTACGGCGTGTACTCCGGCACATATAATACGGCTATTATTATTAATTGGTAATAATCTTTATTACTCATTTGTTAATTTTAAGCTTGGCTATGTATGTATATTTTACAAGTGTATATGTACCTCTGCGTATTTTGCTTAGATGTTTTTGCTTGTGACTTAACATCTATCGCAAATCAATTGTCTTCAATTCCGGAATTGTCTGTTTTTTTAAAAGAAATCTGAAGTTTTACGTATCTTTTTTTTTGTAGAACGCTCATTTTCGCTAGTCCGATACAAGAAGTTTTTCCTGGCGACCCATTTGGCGGCAAGAACATCGTGCCAGTTAGAAATCTGATTGAACGCAACACAGCGGAAGATATTGCGAACGCCTCAGCAAACACTCAACGTCCGATCCGATCTCCGGTCGATCGGAACGCACAATGCAAACGTTTTTCGGACGATCACGCCGGAGAACAAGTCCACGTTTCAGCCGAGCCATTCCGATTCGACGAGCATCCGTCGAGTCGCATTGAGAGAGGACTCCATTATCTCTTGAACAAGAGATTCTCAGTCGAGTCGTCGATCGTAGACGTAGACACGATTCGCGCCAACACCAACGAGACTTGTGAGAGCGACACTCCGCTTCCTCCTTACAGCGGAATATTTTCCGATTGTATGAACAGAAGATCAAGCTCGGTTTCGAGCTCGACTGAACACAATGACAGATCTCAGGAAACTAATTCAACTAATAATTTATACTCGCCACGTACGAGGCGTCAGTTAGCTGGTTTAACCAGGTCGTTCACAGAGCGTCGTCGATCGAAGGTCGCTCGTTTCGATCGAAACTTCCGTAGGAGCTTCACTGGCAGAGTGGAGGATTACAGAACGGAACACGCGAGACGAGCGAACTTCAGCATGGAGACGTCGTTATAACGAGGGCGCGAATGAATTAATTGAAAGTTGATTGGTCATCGAGCATCTTTCTTTTTTTGAAAGAGAAGAACAGCGCACAGATCCTGTGTCCGTTCCTACATGTGATTGTACATATACATACATCTTATTTCTATACGCGGTAATTTTAGAATACTTTAATAAACTACAGAGATGCAAATTATATTATAGAAACTCTTCAATTATATACATTTATTCTTCCAGAAGTACCTTGAACTACGAATAATAATAATAATAATAAAGCTACAAAAATCAAACGCGGATGTAAATTGTGAATAAGGTAAAATTGTAATTAAAAACAACGCAGAAGGTTGTAAATTCAGCCTGATAATTAGTGCATCTCTGTAGATACACACATATATATATATATATATATATATATATATATATATACACAAAATCTAAGAAAAAACGGCAAATTTTTTCTTTGAAGATCGATTAGCTGTGAAATTATTTATGCAACTCAAATGTCTTAAGAATGCATGTTTACCTCGTCCGTATACAATATTATACGTATATATATATATATATTAAATGGTTTTATTATCTAACTTAGGATTAAGAACAGAGTGTGCGCTGCTGACTGTGTGGGATTTAGCTAAATCGAAAAAAGAAACCGTTGGCGCGACACTCAGCCTTAAAATTGTTACTACTTTTTGTGTTCCACGCTACTAGTATATTGTAAGTATCCGTCCTATACTCCTTTCGAGAGTTAAACGTACGAACGGATCACGTGATTTCCATGTCATTCTAATGCCGGGGCTATTGCTCCTCAACGTTCCTTTGCTTAAAGACGTGTACCCTCGCGTCTTTAAAAAGGACCAGGAATGTTTCGCGTAATATAATCAAGTCTCAAGAATCTGCATTTAGCGTTAAATATGATTAACTGTTTTTGCGATCTTCATTAGCTTTATATACAGGGTGTCCCAATATTGGTGTAACATCTCTTGTAGACAGGTAGAAGAAGTAAAACTGAGTCGATAAGTCCTATACCATTTTGCTAGATTCGCAATAGTTACCGAAATCTTAATTAATAAAGATCCGCGAATAAGCGTGCATCGGGCTGTCTTACGCGCGTAGGACAGCCCAGCGCGCTTCGCACAATTACATTTTAATATGCATATGTTATAGTATATGCTGTTATATTAGCTTCTCCCATATGCTGCTACGGGTAACACCGTAAGCGCGCGAAGCGCACTGGGCTGTCTTAAGCGCGTAAGACAGCCCGATGCATGCTTATTCGCTGATCTTTGTTAATTAAGATCTCGGTAACTATTGCGAATCTAGCAAAATGGTATAGGACTTTTCACCTCAGTTTTATTCCTTCTACCTGCCTACGAGAGATGTTAAACCAATTCTGGGACACCCTGTATATATATATATATATATATTTATTTTATATATATATATATATATAAAAGAAAAAAAGAAACGAAAATTACGAAAAATTGCAAGCAGTAATCGCAAAAGCAGATAGTTCAAATATTTAAAAGAAAAGAGTTTTTGAGTTACAAGAGTAACTCAAACAATTATTTGAGAAGAGTAAACACCAAAATGTCTTTTGAGGCTTCTGGCTGATCATTCCGGCCATTATTGACTTCCGACGCCAGAAGCGATCGTGCGTAAAGTTTTGTCATGCAATTTACATATATAAATAAAATATTGTTCGCATATTAAAAAAAAAAAAAGAACGTAACTGCGGCGAAGGACCAGGAGCTTTTTAACACGTCTTTTAGACATGTTGCCTAGAAAAGTTGCTACGGCAGATAGGATTAGGTAATTGCATTTATCGCTAAATGCGCAACGGATTATAGATCAAAGAGATTACGAATCAGAGTAGAGAAGCTTCAGATCGCTGGATATATACAATAGAATGCGCTAAAAAGAGGAAAGGTAATCGCGCTTTATCGTGAAAAAGCGTGACTCTAAAGTACAATTAATTTTTCGGGATAACGTGCCTCGCTAACTTAGCCAAATCGATTTCGAAGTTGACACGCGCAATATTTACTATTAGGCATAACGCGCTGTTACAAAACATTGAGTCAATTACACAGTATATTGCGATAGCTAGTACCACCACCGAGTGTGCGTTGTGGCCAAAAGCAATGTTTTCTTACAAATCAGAGTTAAACTTTAATTGCAACTGAAAGGAGAAAAAAGTACCGAAAGTTAACATTCAACGCGTAACAAACGTTTCTAAATATAATTCTGGTTTTCCTTCGAGTTTTCGTCTCGTCGTTCAAATATTTAAAAAAACCAGACTGGCTCTACCGCGGCAAATCAAGTTGTCGTAAGTCAATAAAAAATTTGTTAATTGAGATTTGCGACTACAATTGCGTTATCGTAGATCCGGTCTGAAAGAATTGCGCGAACGAATATTTTACTTGTTAGAGTGTGTTGTTACTATATATGTATACTTGTTACAAACTATATTCTTACGTAAAATTCCGCATACGCTTGTATACCGTGTCATTCGGCAGACAATGAGTGTATATGTGTATAAAATGTATAACAGGGATTTATAAATTATACATATATATATATATATAAAGTAAATAGTGTCACACACGCACGCACTTATACGCACACGCATGTTCTTGACTTCTGAGTCTAATAGGATTCCCCTCTTCCCCCAAATAAATAAAAATAAATATATAATTTTAACTCTCGTGTCACAAATTATTTAAAGGCAAAAATATTTTGAACTTAAAAAAATATCTTTTATATAAGTGTTCAGTGTGTTGTTCTAAAGTAATAATGCATTGTATACTCTAGTCGGAGAGATCGATTAAAAAATAGAAAAAAATTGTAATAATTTCACACGCACTCTCTGACAACTTGTTGCTACTTATTTACGCCATCATCAAATTATACATACAAGATCTATTGATAGAAAACACAGACAAGGCTCAGAAGTCTAGAATCAAATAATGCATATATTTATGATTACCAAGCAAATAATATAACAATATGTGTACGGATTGCCCGTTAATATATATAAAAACTTACCGAAAATAAACATTATATGAAACAATTTTATACAGATATAAATAACTTAAGTAGTTCCTTTACTATAATTGCTGCACAATGTGCACGTTTTTCATAAATAAGTTGTCACGTTACTTTCATTCTATTCCATAATCTATATTCACGATTTATACATACTACCATCATAATTATATATATTAATAGTGAATAAAGAAAATCATGCCACGATATATGATTATATATTTTTTTTGCGTCAAAATCAGTACAAATGATACATATACTCGAACATACACTACGCATGCAATATAAAAGCTATATTAAAATTTGAGTTGCAGTAGTACCATGTTGTATAATTTTTCACAATATTCTTGATTACGCTTCAAGGCAGTAGTATCATAAAAAACACTTAATACAGTAATTCCTCGCTAACGTTCCGCTTCTTGATTCTGCAAGCGGAAAGATGTCGAGGAAAGTATTGTTCCGAAAACTGTTGGTTATTATCTCTGATTGATTCGATTGGATTCGATCGCCGCCAATCCGCGCGAAGCTTCGGCGAAGCACTTTTAAGAATTGGTGGGGATGACTCTCAGCACGATACCGCGGGAAAAATTCGGCACGTTAGCGAGGAATTACTGCATTTTTTTTGAAAAGGTACAGTAAAAGTTTTTTTCTAGATATCACTCCTTTTTTGTAGTACATATTCTCTAATTATATTAATAACATTAATATTTATATTTTATATACATATTAATTATAATAATATTATATTATTTAGACCGGACCAGTGGTCTCGCGGCCTGAGTGTGATAGCTGCGAGCGGGAGGTCCCGATTTCGAATCCACGTTGTCGGATTTTTCCGAACCGGTCTCTTTCAAGTCAAATTTAATAGATTGAAAAAACGAACCGAATCGAATTAGCTTAAAATTGAGCGTGGGAAATGTCGAAGAGGAATGTAAAGAAATATTGTAACCCTGGGGAATCAATAAAAATTCTTTTATTCTTTTATATTACTTACAAGGGAACCTCGCTAACTCGAAAATTCTGATTTTGATGAAACATGTAAGAAGAGTCGATAGATGAATATTGACATTTGTTGCTGCTCAAAAAACGGTTTTAAAGGAAATCATTTCTTATATGTAAAGCGGCTTTTCATTTTTCTCAATTTATCTCGAAAATTATTGAAGATATTGAAAACTGTTTTGTACAAAAATTTCATAGAAAAAAATTATTTATTTATTTATATTGAATTAAAAGGAAATAATTTTTTAATAAAATGTTTTCACAAATTTATAAAAAAAAGTTTTCTAGACAATTTTATTAATGTAGGTAAATAGAGGTATTCTTACCATAAAACTTTTGTATAAAACATTTTTTAATATTTCCAATAGTTTTTGAGATATATCAAGAAAAGCGCAAAGCTGTTTTACACGTGAAGAGTGTTTCACTCTTTAGAATCGATTTTAGGCCGCTACTGAACATGTCTACATTCATGTAGTTATCTATACATGTGTACAAAGTTTTATTGTAAGAACATTTCTATGTAATCGCGCATTAATACAACTTTGAAATAATTATTTTAATAATTATTAATTATTCAAAATGTTTCATTGATTGTGCAATATTATTTAGTTTGGCTGGAGATGATCTAAACTTAATATAACTTTATTTACTTCAGCCATTAAGCCAAGAAGGGGACTTTGTTTACAAAAGATGATTTAAACAAATAAATACAGATCAAAACATCCCGTAACGACATTGTAAGTTAAATTATTGAGTGAGTTTGACACCACCGCCATCTGTGGACAATTGGTTTTAAGTTTTTTTAATTATTTTAAAATAAGTTTTTCCCAAAATTTATTTTTAGCATCTTTTTGTGAGCAAAGAAACATCAGCACCGCGATCAACGAAGGTAACGCAGGACGAAGATCGCGAGGCAGCGCAGAAGAGTGCAACTATCGTCGATAGAAGGAGATACGGACCCTGCGGCGTGCGCAGCAGTGCAGCGGTGATTGACCGCCAGATCAATTTTCAAACACATTCAAACGTGTGCGAACTGATTTGAATGACGACAGTGTCACGCGCGCCTTACAATTGAGCGTATTTCTTACATTTTATATAAGTAACTATCTTGCGTTATACAGGGTGATTCAGAACAACCTGTTATCCTTGAAAATACATATTCTTGACTAAATTCTAAGACAACTTTTTATTTGGCAAAATTTTGTCTGAAGCTTACTTTTTGAGTTATTAATAAAAATAGTTGACTTACCACAAGTCGGATACAAGAGGTAGGCAGGAGCGGCGCAATTCGTGCCCATCCCTTGGTAGTAATACGCAATATTTACAAGTAAATTATGTTTATGGAAAAAGAGTTGTCGCAATATATAATATTTGTTTCCGAATAACTAAACTATTTGCAATAAGTTTTTAAACAATAAAGATCAGCGATTCAGAAGCATATAATATACAAATTGCTATATGCTTTTGCATTTAAGAGTATTGGACGTGACGCAATTTTAGTCGTAATCGTAAGTGTTGGAGAACAATTGTTTACAATCGTACGTTTACGACTAAAACACGTGCAATAATCATCGTTAATGAATTTTATGTAATATGTATTATTATAAAACACAAAAAATGTTTACTGTCAGTTCTACCGCTATACTTGGCGCGAGACTATGGATGCGTTCCGAGTTACGCATATCACGTATTTATCTATACTATATGTTACGTGTACTATAGATAAATGCGCGCATATGCGTAACTCGGAACGCAGCCTATATCTACACGAAAGTGTTGTCCCCTGGCGGCGACAAGAGGCGAAGTACGCTCAAGCACTGTCCCAAGACGTGGACGAATTCGTAGAACCTAGTTTTTCGGCATTTTGGACTTTGTATCGAGATATCTCCGTTGGGAAGGTACGGAGGAAAAAAACCGCGAACTAAGTTTTTTCGTGCCTCGATCTCAACTTTCGATTGAATCTACTACGAACTCGATCGGTTTAGCCGTTGTTGAGATCGGAAAATCTCGAAAAGTCTCTCGGCTAACGGCCGATTTCTTTATACCTCTCGATAGCTATCCTCTGGATAAATTCCTCTGAGAACCAATAAGGAGAACCAATTTTGGGAGATATCTTCTAGACAAAGTTATCGAAAACTTATCTAGAAGTGAAAAAATTGACTGTAAATCTCGCGTATAAGAGACACGGGGTACCTCGCGCGCACTTCGTTTGCGCATATACTTGGCGCGAGGCACTGCCGTGCCTCTTGATATGTAAATGATATTTTTTCTTAATGACATGTCGCGCGCGTGGCAAATATAAACCATAGACTTATATATAAATAGACCCAGCGTTCTGTGAGAGGAGTTGTCCGCGTCTTCTAAAGGACGGAACGATATGCATCCAGGTGCTGTCTCCGTCGCTCCGCCGGTCTGGAGGGGGAACGTCGATGGATAACGTTGAAGGAAAGCGAACTTAAAGGCGCGTGTACCGCACTTATATGTGTAATAGGGTTAGGTTAGGTTACACGGAAAAAGACACAGAAAATGTCTCAGTGTTGCATTTGCAAATCGCATTGTGGCTCCCATGCAGATATTACATTTCATACGTACGTAAATAACTTTGAATTGCAGTAAAAATAGTTACATCTAACCGACAATCTATATATAATAATAGAAACTTTTTTTTCAAGCATACCACGGTCAGAAGAATTTCGAGCAAAACACATATAAGTGCGGTACACGCGCCTTTAAGTTCGCTTTCCTTCAACGTTATCCATCGACGTTCCCCCTCCAGACCGGCGGAGCGACGGAGACAGCACCTGGATGCATATCGTTCCGTCCTTTAGAAGACGCGGACAACTCCTCTCACAGAACGCTGGGTCTATTTATATATAAGTCTATGATATAAACACGCTGTCTTACGTACAGATACACGCATTTAGTCGCAGATTTTTAGTACTTCAGATCTCGTTAATTATTGCAAATCTTGCAGTGTTAAAACATTTTGACTCAGTATTCTTCTTTCTTACCTGCCCGAACGATTGTACGGCTATTACTGTACACTCTGTATATACGTGTACACAATGTTGACTATGTTATATGTTTCAGTATTAATCAAATTTACATACTCCATATCTTTAATGTACACATATAATTTTTAGTAATCCGTCGCTTTTTCTTACCACCGAAGCTTTAAAATTCACACACGGGAGTAACAATATCACACTTAAAAAACTTCAAATTACTGGGAATTTCTTTACAGATTTCAAGTATAGGTTTAGAGAATAAAAGAATTATCTTGAAGTTTAAAAGAGAATTATCCAAGTGCTTCGGTGGCCTAACAGGGAAGGCGACGGCCCGGAAAGCCGGAGATTCCAGGTTCGACTCTTGGATGAGAAAGTTTTTTTCGCAATATTTTATAAATTAGTTAAGGGAGTATTCGCGGTCCTTCATATATGTGATGCAAAATTAGCATCCTATCTGATTTTAAGAATTGAAAATTTGATTCAAAAAACTTACGTAAAAAAATTTACACGTTAACGCATATATGTAAATGTATGCATACATATATATACGCACATTTTTCCGCACAACATCCTGCGTCGGCTCTTACTGACCGGACTTATATATATTTATTAGAATTATCTTATATAAAAACTAAATTCTACCTGCTGTATATACAAGTAAAATTTGTACATAAAAAATTTAAAAAACATTTCAAATACGATATTTCTATCATCATTTATACAGAGGTGTCCCAGAATTGGTTTAACATCTCTCGTAGGCAGATAGAAGGAATAAAACTGAGTCGAAAAGTCCTATACCATTTTGCTAGATTCGCAATAGTTACTGAGATTTTAATTAACAAAGATCCGCGAATAAGCATGCATCGGGNTGTCTTACGCGCGTAAGACAGCCTGATGCACGCTTATTCGCGGATCTTTGTTAATTAAAATCTCAGTAACTATTGCGAATCTAGCAAAATGGTATAGGACTTTTCGACTCAGTTTTGTTTCGTCTACCTGCCTACGAGAGATGTTAAATCAATTCTGGGACACCCTGTATACGTAAGATACAACCGTAAGGTCGTTCGTTCTCCCCACACACATTCGTTTACATCGTGGTATATATTTATCATTTCACAACAAACGCCTGCTTTGTAGTTATCGATGATTTCGCGACACGGCAAGATTCGGCATAAATACGCATAAGCGAAACGTTTTAAACCTTTGTAGTACCAGTGTGTAGTATTTTCTGCAAGATTTCTAATTTAATGCGTTGGATATCAGTATGCAGAAAATGGTAAGTTATTAAGTTTTTTTTATGTCTAATGTTGATAAATTAAATTGCTGTAAAATGAAACTTTTGTGTTTGTAACCGTACTCTACTATAAAACATAGAATATGAAATGTCGGACTATAGATGTAGTATCTTAAAAGCGTATTGTTAAATGTCATTGTTAAATTGAAGGAAAAATAAAAATAATCAAATAACAATAATATATATTGTTTTAGAATATAATATTAAATTTTCATTAATGTTGTCTTGCACAATTTAATATTTGAAACGTGTTCTCAAAGGATAAAACAGTTTTCTCCACCTTAAATTTGTGAGTCGAAAATATGTAATACGCAATTTGTATTGTACTTTTGGTTTCGTAATTGTCTTTTTGTATGTCAGATTGGAAAAGACAAGAAATAAAAACTATTCTGGTAGATAGAAATATACACATCGTAGAATAGTGAAAAAAACCGTAAAAGTCTAGTTTAGAGTTAATCATCTCATGAGCTTTCTAAATTGTTATATTGAAAATTATACGCAAAACATACAATCACATACATCTACGGATGCCAGTTATGTAAAATAAGCATATATTTCTTACTTTTTAAATAATAACTTTTTGTATTATAATTGTGTTTCTATTTGCATCAAAGTTTCTTGTCTACAATAAAATTTAATTTTATAGACAGAAACTTTGCAGACGCTGACATTCTTTGGACTTATATGCTTCCTATTTGTCAACGGAATTACTTCTACCGGTGACGACCTTGTGTCTCACGATCCGACATGTGTAACACCGATAGAATATAGCATGAATATTACCGCACAAGTACCAAAAAAATATCTCCCTATTGATTCTTTTGTCACACTGAACGTTTCGTGTGTACAGAAAGAAATACGAGTATATTTCGGACGTTATTGTAAAGTTGTATACGATGTTATTATTGATACTGATATTTATCATAATAACTCGTATAGGTTATACAAGTCACTTTTTACAAAAGATCGATTCATTGACATCAGTCTTATGAAGCAGTATCAAAAAAGTTCTATAATTAAAAAACAAAAAGTAAATCTCCAACGTGGAATATATTGGATAACTGGGAGATACAATTGCAATTTAGAAAAAGTTGCAGCAATTTTTCCATATGTAGATCAAACTAAAAAAGAAAAGTACGTGAAAAAGCTGGTAAAACAGTAATTATTCCTTTTTTCATCCTGTTGAAATAAGATTTTTAAAGATTTATTACAAAAGTATCAATGTTCTTATATAATCTACGTGTTTTTATTACATAGATATTTGATTTTACCCCGTATTCCTGCTGAATGGATATTTCCATATTGGGAAAATCCCGCAACTAAGGCCACCTTTACTATTCGAATTAACCATGACTACATTGATGAAACAGTTCTCTCACATATGCCTGGTGATCGAATTTTTGAAAGAAATAAGTTCTATACTTCATACTACACTTCATTTCCTATTACACCTGCAATGTCCACTCAATTGGTAGCAATAGCAGTTCTACCTTATGAAAGTGTCATTTTATTGTTAAATACAATTTCTGTAAAAAGCAGATTACAAGTAATAAATGACACTACATATGCACGATCTCGAATTAATGACATCACGAAGTTTATCAGAAACAAATGGAAGGATATCATAAAAACATCATTCATTTCATAATAGCTGGAATTCACTGGAAGTGAATTCCAGCTATTATGAAACTGTAGTAACTACTAGACTTGTTCTTTTTAAGTAAGATACATATCTCAATATTCTAAAATGAGTTTGTGAACAAATTTACACATGTCTACAATAATAATATTCCATTAAAAACATGTAAATGTTTAGAGAGGCTGACATTGTTTTCAATAGAGAAGTAGATTCGATTATAAGAAAAACACAAATAACATGTTTGATTGCACGCAGTGTGATACAAGAAATGTTCAGTAATTGGTTAGTTAAATTTAAACAATCTGATCCTTGGTTTATCAAGGGGTTTTCAACATTTTATGGAGTTTATCTACTCGATCAGGTAATACTTGCATTTATAATTCTGTAGCTTTTACACCCCGAGAAAAAATGAAAAATCATGTAATCAACATATAGGATTATATGTAAATCGGATGTAATTTTGTATAATCGTAATCTTTTATCTAAGTCAAATATGGTTTTATGTGATCGCGTAAAATCAAAATTTGGCGCGATCTGATTTTATATGATCATATATAAATATATAAAATTAAGTACAATAACAAGAAAAAATATATGATTTCTTATATGTTTATAGGCGATTTTTGGCGATCGTATGGTACATATACTAAAGTGTACCAAACTATAATTTGAAGTCACTCGAAATATAGTTTGGTACACTTTGGTATATGTAACATACGATCGCCAAAAATCGCCTTATATGATCATATAAAATCAGATTTTAATAACATATATATAACATATATATAACATATATATAACATATATATAACATAGATATAACATATATATATAACATAGATATTTAATGCAAACCGAGAGAGAAGAATAATAGTATGTATTATGTAGTGATTTCAGACATTTTGGTGAAAGATGTTATTGTCACATTGCTTTTTTAATGTTTATATTATACACAAAACTTCTTGACTAATGTTAGTACTAATAATTTGCTTATACTAGAAGGATTTCTATACTTGATACCAAAACTTTAGTAAAACAACTTTGTAATACTAAGTTCACCTAAAAAAATATAACGAAACTAAAATATACATATGCATAATCATATAAACTTTTGGTAGATTTCCAATGAGACTTTACTGATGTCGACTGTGGTTCAGACACGACGAATGGTTTTTGAATATACACAAGCATTTACTGAATATTATTTAATACAAGATAATTCATTTCTCAAAAACGAAACTTTTGATAAAATGTGGAAAGAGAGAGGTAAGAAACATTGTCATTTAAACCTTAAATACAGTTATCCAGGTATCATTGTATGCATTTAGAAACATTAATAAAAATAAATCTTGTGATTATAATTTGATTATTTTCACACATCGTATTTATGTTATAGGATTTAATATTTTCTATATGATGAATAATTTATTCAGTATCAAAAATGTTCTAAACGACTTTATTTTTGAGAAAGCGATAAATTTGTATAACACGTGAGTATTAGAGTTATATTATAAATTGATCATTAAAATAAAAAATTGTGGGTTTAAGCATGATTTTCTACGTAACGTGAAAACTTATTCAAATATTCTATACGTTTAAGACAACTAAACTCGATGTAATTTTTGGTTTGTTATCTGTTGTTACTAATAGTAGTACATCAAGTCGGACATATAAGGAACATTTTACTCTTGATAGTATATGGAACAATATAACGTTTGTGCCAACCATATATAACAACATGTATTTGAAGAATATAAATATAAAAAATGTGATAACTTCATGGATAACACAATATGATTATCCTGTAGTACAAGTAAAACGGGAAAATGATAAACAATTTCTAGAAATTATGATTCAAGATTGTGTTACGGTTAAAAAAAAGAACATGTGTGTATACAAGTGGTGGATACCTATAATCTACGTAAAAATATCAAGAAAAACGTTTACTACTAATTATGTGTACCTAACATCAGACGGAACAAGTATTTTTGTTGCGAATATTGAGGAAGATGATTTTATCGTAATCACGGGACAAAATGGTAATACAACATAAAGAAAGTATAACTGTAATGTTTTATGTAGTCTCTATAGTATATTTGAAATTTTTAACATCGTAACATTTATGCTTTTTTTGCTTTCTTTTTCTTGCTTTTCTCTTTCTTAATTTTTTTTATTTGTAATGTTTTTATTCAAACATTTATTTGTAGGATATCGCGTCAATTATGATCGTCAATCTTGGGAAAATATTGCTCTCTTCCTAAAAAGTGGAAAATCTGAGATTTGGGATGCATCTAATTTAACTGACGTCACTTTAGCACAAATTCTTGACGATGCGTTTTATTTTTTAATACAAAATACAAAGTATACTGTACCTCGTGGTGCAAATATTGAAAATATAGACATATTTTTCAATCTTGCAAGCAATGTAGTTCGCGTAAAGAATTTGTACATAGTGTGGCATTCCGTACTTACAACTCTTCAATACATATCAAAGATTTTTCCATTATTAGAAAGCGCAAAGATCAAGGTACATATTTTTCCAGTGCACTACGAAAGTACAAAAGTAAAAAATCCTAATCAGCAACTAAATAAAAGAAACTTTCACTGAACTAGTTTTATAATATACAGTTTATAAGTTACGTTTCCTTCTGCAGTTGTTTTTGATCACCTGACAGAAAGAACAGTATAAAGTAATTTACAAAAGTAACTAGTAAAGTAACTTTACAAAACAGTAATTAATATGCAATGATTCTGAAATAAACATTTTTGTAATATTTTAAGGATTTACAGATTAATCAAAATATATTAATACACGTTACACTTTTTTTATAGACTAAAGTTCTAGAAATATTGAATAGTTATCTGGAAGATATATCACATAACAATGTTTCCGAGAATACTGTCAGTAATCAAGTATATCACGAAGTTTTAAAATGGACATGCATTCTTGGTGGCTTAAAGTGCAAAGAACATATTAATGCTATATTAACGTGGCAATTTGAACATTATATACAACACAGGTATGTTTTTTTATGTTTCTAAAAGCGAAGTGACGTCTATATAACGTCACTTTGCTTTTAATGTATTGTATAATAATGTTACAGAACTGTTACCTGAATCTTGATGCAGTAATATGATATTGTACGGATACTAAAAAATAAGAGTGAGTTAGTTTTTAAATAGAATTTTAGTTATTTCTATAAAATATAAAAATTTGTACATTATAATTACAGACAGTTACATATACAGCTGTTTGAATATGACGTCAAAAGACGTTTTGCTTGTACGCTTATAAACGTAATTGCAACTGTGACATTAGTGATAATACATCATTACAATATCATACTAAAAGTAAAACGCTCGAGTGATAATTGAGTAAATAAAATTATATATTTTTGTAAATATTTGCAGATTGTTGCCAAGTTGGCAGAGATGGATATATTGCCAAGGACTGAAGTTAAAAATTGTAACTAAATTTATATTGTGGCTTAAAATACAGAATAATTACTTGTTACAAGAGAAATTAGAACAATTCTTTCAACTTCTTCCTTGTTTCAACTTTGGATTGAATTATAGTTTGGAATCTTTGCGTTTTGCAACATATAAGCATGTAACAAAAAGTGATTCTTTTACTATTCTTTTTGATATTGTTGCAAGACATATAGAAGATGTTTCTTCACTGAATATTATAATAAACGAAATAGAACATAAATATTCACCAAGGTAAACAGATTTTTCTATACACTTGTTTATCTTTATACTTTATACACATTATTACTATATATAATCTATATTTTATGTACATATATATTTTACATGGTCGATATATATTTATATTAAGTTTATTCAATTTATATACATTGTGTTTAGCATGTCGTATAAAAATTTATTGCATATACTATGAAAGTTTGTGTACTAATTATCTGGTATGTATGTTTTATTTGAAAGATATATGAGCCTACTTGCTGTTGTGAATTTTAGTATTAATCACATATATTTAGAAGAAGATTTTGAAAAGGTACATTGTGTAAACTTAATCGTGTAATAACTATAAATGTAAAACATATTGTTTTTGTATGAATATGTATTAATATGCATGCATATTACAGTTTTATTAGTAATATACAGGGTGTTCGTAAAATTTTGACATAGCCGAAGTATGGAGATAAATTGAGTCAAACTGAATAGAAAAGTTATTTGCCATTGTGCAAAATTTGCAATAGTTAATGAGATACAAAGTAATAAATGTGTGCCAATGAGCGCGTGAGAAGCGATGTTCCTGACTCTGGCGTAGATGTGTGACTGTCAGAGCAACAAGAGGCGGAGGCGGAGTGAACAAACGAGCGCGGCGTCTGACTTGGCTGTTTCGCGGTCAGCCGATATTCGGCGGTACGCAAAGGAGCGATCAGCGCTCGAGGGATAAAGATAAGATGCTACTGCTCTCCGCGATCAGGTGACAATCACACACGCCTACACAGTCTGAATTAACGCTTTTCACGCGCTCATTGGCGCACATTTATTATTTTATATCTCAGTAACTATTGCAAATTTTGCAAAATGGCAAATAACTTTTCTATTCAGTTTGACTCAATCTATCTTCATACTTCGGCTGTATCAAAATTTTACGGACACTCTGTATATAGTCTTTGTTTAGCATAATAAACTAATATGCATAATAATAAGTGTTTTTTACAAGTAATATTACATTCATTATTATCACACGATGTTTTTAGATTCGTAAGACTGTAGTATCACTTTTTGGAAAACTGATCGACATATATAATATAGAGAAGGTAAAAGTTTTTTCTATAAATATAGAAAGAGAATTTCTGTAAATATTTTTCTTGTAGTTTTGCATTGGTTTTTATTTGTTTAAATCAAAATTTTAGTTATAATTTTTAAACTGGTGTTGTTTTGGCATTACTTTCGTTGGTTTACAAAAATATATTCTATAGCAATCTTAAACTTGTGCAAAGAATATAATACAAGATGGTATAGTAAATATATTTTGTAATTTTTTTTAGGCGAAAGTTATAAATGATGTCATTATGAAAAAAGTTGAGAATCGTCGTATGTTTGTAAATGACATGAAAATGAACATTCGCGATGTACTTCATTCCCAGCAAACAATTTCTGTTTTTGACAATTTCGGCGCAGACCTTGGTAACAGAAACTGTTTACAGAAATGCTACAATACGGAAACACCGCCAAAATTGTTAGCACACAGAAAGAAAAAACGCAACAACTCTGTTGACAAATACATGAGAGTATTGCAGCCAAAACGATTCCATATATGTCAGTGAAATTAACAACAAATAGATGGT